ACCACTAATGTACCTTATGTCTCTATGGATTTTCCTATTCTGACCATTTTATTTTATTTTTTAAAGATTTTATTTATTTGTTTTTAGAGAAAGAGAGGGAAAAAGAGAGGGAGAGAAACATCAATGTGTGGTTGCCTCTCATGTGTTCCCAACTGGGGACCTGGCCCGCAACCCAGGCTTGTGCCCTGACTGGGAATCGAACCAGCAACTCTTTGGTTTGCAGGCCAGCACTCAATCCACTGAGCCACACTGGCCAGGGCCCTATTCTGAACATTTTAAACCACAGGTGGCAAACATAATGTCTGTGGGCTGAATCTGGCCCTCCACCTTCTTTTATCTGGCCCCACACCTGGTTTCTACCCGGTGGCAGCATGGAGCTCCTTGTCCCTAGTTAAGGAGTAGTTACATTTATACAGTCCTAAAAAATTACATTCAGTCCCTTGAGGCAACCTCAAGGCTGATGTGGCCCCTGGTGAAAATGAGTTTGACACCCCTGTTTTAAACAAATAGAATCATACAACATGCGTGGTCTTTTGTTTCTGGCTTCTTTCAATTAGCATACTCTTTTGAAGGTTTATACATGTTGTAGCATGTATCCTTACTTCATTCCTTCTTATTGTGGAATAGTAAGTATTTCATTGCTTAGATCTATCACATTTTTTTATCCATTCATTAGTTGATGGACATGTGGAGTATATCAATTTTTTGGCTATTTTAAGTAAGGAAGTAAACCAAGAAAGAACACACAGATGAGATCCAGAAAACATACTATCCAACCAAGGAAATAGGCAAAGGGAGTCCGGGGATGAAAATGGAGAGAAACCCTAGAATGGCACCTGGGCTACAGGTCTAGAGAGTGAGCAGTCTAATTAGAAATGACTTGAAACTGATAGATTTCTGATGTCATTGAATCAGTGGAAAAGCTGACCAAGAGGCTACTGGAAGCTGTAGAGAAAACTGGGAAAAGTACAGGGGAAACTAATAAAATTAAAACGAGAGTTATTAATTTCAGGGTAGACAAAAAGTGAAAAAGGAAACAATCTCACTGGACTGAAATACTCAGCTATGGATAGGTATAATAACCTAAATACAGATTTTTGATTTAACAAAAATTATACTACTGGTTGTATGGGAAGAGAAAGCAGAGGGAATGGTAAAGTTTGAAAACTAAACCACATCTTCCATAATCACTAAAAAAGTTCTGAAATTGTTTAATCAAAAGGTAACAGTACATACAAATTCATTACAAAAAGGGAAATTTGTAAATGCTGAAAAAAAAAAAAACCCAGGTGAAATGAGGTGAAAATTGTTTTGGAGTGCAGGTCCGGAGGGACTGGGGCAGAATAAGGCAGGGAAATACCTCATTTGGGGCATCATAAACCCTTTAAAACTTTCCAACTTCTAAAACTATGTTTTTGTTTTACTTTAAGGAAAATAAAAACCAATTAAAAATAATTTGTACAAGAAATAATACACTCTTGAAAGAGAAACGCCAGATTAAACATACACAGTCAGTGATGTTGTATTGGTAGAATCCAGATTACTATTCTTAGATTACTAAAAATAATTTCTAACCATGGACAGACCTCATTTTAAGAGAGAAGCGTTGACTAGTATGAGCTCTAATGGGGCAATATAAAATAACATATCAGAGATAGCCACCTGCATACAGTGTAACAAAATTTTTACAAATGTCCATAACACCCTGGCCATCTCCATGAAATTTAGTCCTGAGGGCAGAAACTATAATTTGGTCTCTTGGGGGTAAGCACTCAATAAGGGTATGATGAAGTGGGTACAGGTGCACTGAGAATTTGAAAAAATTAGGTGAGGGAGATAGCAGTTAATAGCCTGGAATTTGAAATCAGAAGGAATTCTGAGTTCCTTTCCTGTCACTTATTAGCTGTATCACTACAGACAATATACTTACTTGGCCTGTATTTTAATAAGATAGTGGGAAATAATAGTTATTACTTCAGAGAGTTGTTCAAGACACCAGGAAAACAACACTGAACAAGATAATCAGGTCCCCCTGAGGCAGGAGACAGCATAGGAAGAACTCTGAGACTGTGCTGCGGTTACTAGCCAGCATCTAGCATCCTGGTTGCTGGAAATGTCTTTTATCTCTTAGGTAGAATGAATAGCAAACCAAGGCAGGGAGGAAGAGGGAGACATGTCTCACCCACTAACTCGGCAGTCCTGAGCCTGGTCTGATAATATTGCCAGGTGTTCCAACATCACAAGAAACACTATGTTAGCAAGGAAAGAGGGAAGTCCTTGAAATTCTATGTAGCATTTCTGCTATCTGGGGAAGAAGGCCTTGAAACTGTGCTTTCATCCCAAGGTCTGAAATGCAGGAGAGGGTCCAGCCCAAAGAAAAAGCCCATAAAACAACTTTGGTTAATTGTCTACCTCTGGTCACTATCTGTTTTATGAGGGAGTTCCTAATGCTTGCAGAAAGAGCCCATAAATAACTTTGGGTAACTGCCCCAATTTTAATTAACTGCCTCCTGTCACATATCTGTTTTACAACCAGATGAACAAATGTAGTCTGGAGCAAGATAAGGATTCGGGCGAACAGAGTCCCACATACCTAAGTTTGGATAGTCACGTCCCCACTGGGAAAGCTAGCACCACATTTACCAGTCAATCAATATGTAACTTTTTTACTCCCATCCTGTCAACTATATAAGTCCTCAGAACAAAGGACTTGCTCTCTTGGCTCTCGGGCCACCCGGGGGCTTGCTACCCCAGCCTTCAGCCGCCCTTACTTTTGCCACCCTTCTTTACCCTGAACCTATGCCTTTCACCCTCCACCCCCTGCCCCACCTTAGCTAGGCCTGTTCTCTTCCATGGAAATGAATCACTAATAAATCACTAACAGATTTGCTGATCTGTAATTCTTTACATGCATTGGTAAGAAGAACCAGGCATCCTGTCAACACCCCCAAAACTTACATTCTAACAAGGTAGATAGACAATACATAGTGTAATTAGAGATTGTAGTGTTATGAAGAAGAAAATAAACAGAGTTGTGAAACAAAGTTATAGAAGAAATATGCTTTAGGCAGGGTGGTTAAAAAGACCTTTTAAAAATTTATTTATTTATTTATTTATTTTTAGAGAGGGGAAGGGAGCGAGAAAGAGAGGGAGACAATCATCAATGTGTGGTTGCCTCTCATGTGCTCTCTACTGGGGACCTGGCCTACAACCAAGGCATGTGCTCTGATGGGGGAATCAAACCAATGACCCTTTGGTTCACAGGCTGTGCTCAGTCCATTGGAGCCACACCAGCCAGGGATAGAAAAGACCTTTTTAAAGACAAGTTTGAGCTGACATCTGAAGGATAAGGATAGGTGGGTAATCCATGCAGAGGCAAACTGGAGAGTTCTAGGCAGAGGGCACAGGAAATACAAAGGTCTGCCCGCAGGAAAGAGCTTAAAAACCCCAGAGCATGGTAGTAAGCTATGTGCACAGTAGTTGGAGTTGATGTTGATATAGGCAAAGGTAAATGAGGGCCTTACATGACATGGTAAGGAATTTGGATTTTATTCTAAGTACAATGAGAAGCTGCTGCAAGGTTAAAAAGTAGATGAAGGGCATGATCGCTTTTGTTGCTGTTTTTTAAAAGATCCTTTCCCTTTGCTGAGTGAATGCAGTGGGGAGAGAAGAAAAGAGCAAGTAGGGAGATCTACAATATTAAGGAAGTTAATTGTTGTTTAGGGAAGAGATAAAGAAGACTTGAACTAGGGTGGTCAGCAGATGTGATAAAACCAACAGGATTGCACTGGACTAGGAGGACAAAGTCTAGTCAGCGCCATTTGTCTAGATGAGAAAAATGAGGATAGAGGTAAGGGGGATAAAGAATTTCGCTTTGGATAGTTCCATTTTTGAGATGCCAATGAGCCTTCTAAGAGATGTCAGTAGGCATTTGACTGCAGAATCTCCATAGACCAGCGATGGAGGCTTTAGATGTAGATGCTTTCTTGGGGGAATAAGGGACCTGAGAGCTTTCCACTCCATCTGGTCCTTAAGAAACTAAGTGACGCCTACACTGCTATAGGGTAAGGGTAGCCCAAAGCGCAGCTTCCTGGGCTCACTATGGCAAAGGCCCTTAATTCAGTACGCCCCAGACTGAGACACAAAGCGAGAGGCCGAAGAAACTCTAGCACCGCAAACAAGCTACGAGTACGCCTACGGAAAGCCGGCAGTCACTGGGCGTGGGCGGGACCGAGAGAGCGCTGCCTGCTGGGATTTGTAGGCTGACCTTGGCGGACGTTCTCGCAACTTCCTCTAGACGCCCACTGGACGTTGCGCCAGGTACTTGAAGGAAACACACCCTGAGCCTGCATCAATTACTGCAAGAGCATCGTCCCAACGGGCAAATCTAATCTTCATTTTATGCTTGGAATCATTTGGCAACGGCGACTACTTCTCATCAGTTAAAGGATACAGAGTCCTAAAAATGACATGCAGTGTCCCATTCATCACGAGTTGGTACCCGTTGTAGTCTTATCCCTTAACACTTCCTAATTATTCTTGCAGACTATACGGGAAGCTTCCTCCGAGATAGGGACTCGCTTCGGATCTCTCTCCTCTGTGCTTCCTCTCACAATTCTTCAATAATAATGATAATCGTGGCCAGTCTTCCTGAGCGCTTAACTGTATGTTCTAATCTAAAGCTTTTTTACCCGCACTAGCTCATTCTCACAAAGCCCTCTAAAACAGTTGCTATTATTTGTATTGTGAGGACATTTTAGTTCAAAGACGTTATGTGATTTAAGCAACACTGCGTTGAAGTATGACACTGTTTATACCTGCGCGTCTCTCACTGGACTACAAGTTCTAGCGGGCCTACGTATCAGCTTTTTACTTTCTCGCGGGCTACGCCCCAAGGGCGGGGCTGTGGGAATCACACCGCGTCCCATCGTGCCTTGCGTACCCGCGCTGCTATTGGTCAGGCTGCAGGGCTCCTTTTTCAAATTGCGGCGCGGAGACGTTGTTCGGTTTCTGGACGTCCGGTGGAGGCGAGGTTGGTGATTTGACGGCTCCGCTGGCGCGGGACGGAAGACGCGTCCAGTCAGAGCCCCTAGTGGAGAGCGGGGACTCCGAGCTGCTTGCGTCGGTGTCCGTCTCCAAGCCGGCCCTCGGCAGGGGAGTGCCTCCGTCCCAGTACCAGGCTTTGTTTTGTCGGGGGATTCCGTCATGGCGTCCCAGCCGAATTCCTCCACGAAGAAGAAGGAGGAGAAGGGGAAGAACATCCAAGTGGTGGTGAGATGCAGGTAGGGTGAGGATGGTGGGATTCGAAGCGCCCGGCTTTGCTGCTGTGCTCCCTCCTTCGCGGTCTGAGAGGAATTTTAATTTCTGAGGGGACCAAATCTTTCTGTTTCGTAGCGCTCCTTAGTCTCTTGGATGAAGTGACCCCATGTTGCTGTGAGGAGTAAATTAGTGTCTTTTTCCCAAAAAGGGATATGTGGGGGCGCAAAAAAAGAATTTTTCCTCCCACCTTCTAAATTCTTTTAACTGGGCTAATAAATTAATGTGAGACATTATCAGGAGAGAATGTCCACAATTTATTATGCATGTACACGCAGAGGTGACATAAGAATTCACGAGACCCCAATACGCATTGGGCATTTACGGTTCGATATGCCATTTTGGACAAAGGAAAAGTGGGGCAGGGGCCTGGGATTTCAAACAAAGTAGGAGATTTACAGGTTCGGGAAAAAGCAAATTCTTGCTAGACCACCCAGAAACAATGGTACACAGAAGGAAGTTCCAAAAACAGGCTTTGCTAGATTTCTGTCTGCCACACTTACAATACTTGTATATTATGGTGCAAAGGTGATGCTCCCTTCGTTTAAGCAGGTTTTTGTACCTGAATTCCTTTGAGCAGGTAGGGAGGACGGTCAAAGTTTGTGTGTCATTTGTTTCTTAACACCCAGCCTAAAATCAAAAACCCAAAAGGTGTCTTTTGGGGTTGCAAAACTTTGGTCGCCCTCAGAGATTTGCGTCAGAGCTGATAGTTTAAACTGCTGTACTCAGATGGAGAATTTGATAACTTTTCTTTAGTGAAAAGGGCATCCTGTTTTGAAGGTAATTCGACAAAGATTTAGGTGTTGCTTTTATATGCCACTCCTTGCAGTTCGTTAGTTTGGGAAATAAGACCGAGTACCCACTTTCCAGATGTTTTGGCACTTACATTATTGCGATTGCCATCCTCTCCACTTCTAAAAACGTAATCAATCATCTGTTTATTCTAGGTGCAATGTTTTCTTAATTCCTACCAAACGAGTAAACATCATTGTATGTAAGTTTCAAAAATTAAGTTGTAATATAGTGAATTTAAAAGATCGAGGAGACCACTTAAGCCAATATAGCCATCTGGTTGTGCTGCAACTTAGTCTCCCCTACGACAAAGGAGACAGCTTTTTCCGGGTGGGTGGAGGAGTTCAACTCTCCCCTGACGGATTTCCAAATAACTTCTCAGTTTTAAAATTAGCTGGTGCAGGAAGAACATACTTGTTGTTCAAAGTGTTGCTTAATTAGAGATTGATTTATTCAGCTTTTTAGAGGCCTTCCACAGTTTACTGGTGAATGTGTGTTTTGTGTGTCTCTTTGTTGCTGTTGTTTTAAAAACTCTACCATCAGCCAAATTTTCTATAAATCAAAAAGTATTCTAAAATTAAAATATTATTTAAAAAATATGTCAACGAGCTTTCCTAAGTTATTGTTTAGTCAGTTTTGGTGACTTAATTGTACATATCAAAGGTAATGGCTAGCTTTTTAAATTAGGTGCCAGAGAGGAAATTAGGTGGTAACCTTATGTCTAGCTAATTGCCTGTTGTATTCTAGGGCTTTTGTTAATAGTTGCTTATTTGAAGGTTTTAAAAAAATCAACAGTTTTACAAATGGGAATTCTTAGGTTATTTTGATCAGTTAATAAACCTAGGCAGTATTATATTTCTGTGTGGTTTTATTTTCTTTATTTTTTTAAACAAAATATGCCAGGCCCATAGAAAGTTGTGAAGAACCATGTAACAGACATCTGTACATCCATCATCCAGATTAGAAACAGAACAGCCATTACACCCGGAGTGCCAGTGTGTTTCCTCCCTAATTCCCAACCTTCTCCCTTACCCCAAGGGTTAGATAGTACCCTGAACTTCATGTTTACTCTCCCCATGAATTTCAAGCTTAAGTTTAAAAGGGATTTCTTTTACTAAAAAAAAAAAAAAAAAAGATTTTATTTATTTATTTTTAGAGAGGAGAAGGGAGGGAGAAAGGGAGAGAAACATCGCTTGTCTCCAGTCATGTCCCCAGTCTTACCCCACTGGGGACCTGGCCAGCAACCCAGGCATGTGCCCTGACTGAGAATTGAACTGGCAAGCTTTTGGTTCACAGGCAGGAATTCACGGAGCCATACAACCAGGGCTCTTTTATTTTATCATTGTTGAAAAGTGCTTAGGTTGTATGGTATAAAGAGGTGTTTTTTCAGATTAGCCTGGCTTTTTTGTTTGTGTGGTTTTGTTTTCAAATAGTCTTTGTAATGCAAATATGTTCTGTCTTTAGTAAATAAACAATTTAAGAGGTCCTCAAGGTGGTCAGATCTTTTGCTGTAAAGGGCCTAGATAGTAAATATTTTAGGCTTTTCAGACCACATGTGGTCTTTGTCACCTATTCTTTTTCAGTTAAAACAATTTTTTAATTGATTTTAGAGAGAGAGAGAAGAAAGAAGGGAAGGATGGAGGGATAGAGAGAAAAAGAGAGAGAAACATTGATTTGCTGTTTATTATTCATTGGTTGATTCTTTTGTGTGTCCTCACCAAGGATCCAACCCACAACCTTAGCATATGTGAGGACAGCACTCTAACCAATTTAGCCATGGCTAATTTTTTCTTCAGTTTTAAATTTTTAATTCTTACAGTTTATTATAGCCTGACTTCATTACTTGATTACATTGACTACAATCTTTAGGATGTTCTTTTATTGTATAATAACATATGAAGAGAAGTTTTTATTCTACCGATACATAGCTCAAGATAAAGGTATAAATGGAATTGAGAAACTGAGATGTTTTAATCAGGAAAATGCTTTGATACAAAGACACACACATATACACAAAACACCCCTCCCCCTTGTATACTCTACAGCTGGGGTGTCCAACCTTCTTGCATCTTTGGGCCACACTGGAAGAAGAGTCGTCTTGGGTTGCACATTAAATAATTGTGACACGTAATCACAAAAAAACCCTCATAATGTTTTAAGTAAATTTACAGTTTTGTGTTGGGCTGCATTCATGGCCATCCTGGGCCACGTGCGGCCGTGGGCTGTAGCTTGGACACCTCTGCTACAGGTTGGCACAAACACTATGAAGAACATAATACAGAGGTTTTAAGATTTAAGTTATTTTTTGGCATTTTAATTTAAACAGGTGCTTAGGCAATGTAGGTATTAACATATCTGAGTTATTCACATATTTTAAAGTATATGAAGCAATTAGTATATAATTGCTTTTTGTTTGAATGGCCCAGACCAACCTCCCTTAAATAGTAACCCCACATGACGCCAGTTACCAAGTAGAAAACAAAATTGTGATTCTGTATTAAATCAGCAGAGGCTATTGTAGAGAAAGGACAACTTGGAAAATAAAGACTCAGTCATTTTTCCAAGTTGAGAACATTTTAGTTATTAGTAATAAGCTAAAGGTAAAGGTAAATAAGCTAAAGGTAAATTTTTTTGAGAAGCTGTTTATAATTTACTTGTTGAAAAGAGACTATTTCACTATTCCACTATACTATGATAGTGGAACAACAAGTTTTATTGTTGTTTTTTTTTAATAATCCTCACCTGAGGACATTTTGTTTTCATTGCTATTAGAGAGAGAGATAGGAAGAGAGGGAGAGAGGCATTGCTGGGTTTCCTCACCTAAGCACTCAGACCATGGATGGAACCCACAACCTAGGCATGTGCCCTGACCGGAAATCAAACCACAACCTTTTGTTTACTGATCCAGCCAACTGAGCTACACCGTCCAGAACTGATCCAAGTGTTTTTCAACCTTGAAAAGGTTTTCTGAAGTTGGTATCTTGTCAGCAAAGCATTATTCCTGGTATACTCCTCACAGTAGGACCTGAGGTCCATGGTGCTGTTGAAACCTTGATTCTTTCACTGGAGGCTTCTAATCAAAACTGCTGCACAGTTCTTCCCTGGGCTATGTTGTGGGTGCTTGCTGATTTGCTGGACATCTTTTACTTGAAATCAGTAAGACATCATGTGACCTCATGTTTGAGGTTTTAAGAGGTGGAGTGCATCTGCCAGTGTACTGCTTCTACCACCCTCAGACACCCAGTATCTGAGGGTTTTTTTTTTAGATTTTATTTATCTATGGATGTGCGAGAGAAGCATCAATCAGTTACTTTCACATTCCCACCCTGGGATGTTCCTTGACCTAGAATCCAGGAATGTAGGATGACAACCAACCCACTGAGCCACACCAGTCAGGGCCGATACATATAAATATATAAAACATATATATATATATATATATATATATATATATATATATATATATATACACACACATATGTTTTATATATTGTTTGATTGTCATCTCTTCCTGATCCCCTACACACACATTATTATATATATATAATATATATATTTTTTAAACAACCCTTTAAAATTGTCAAATTATTCTTTGACAAGACAAAGGCTAGATTTGCTCCACAGGTTGAAAGATATTATAAACCGGTACATGATATAGCTACTAGTTATCTTTCTGATTTGACTAATTCCCCTGCCCTCCCCCATCTCTTTCTCTCTCTCTCTCTCTCACACACACACACACACACACACACACACACACACACACATTATAAAAACACTTTACCACCCAGGTGGGTTGACTCCCTTGGTTGGAGCGTGGTCCGTACGTGGTCTGTACACCAGAAGGTCTCCAGTTTGATCCATGGTCAGAGCACATACCTAGGTTGCTGGTTCAATTCCTGTTGGGGGGCATAAAAGAGGCAACTGATCACTGTTTCTTTCTCATTTCTATTTTTTCTCACCACCTCCTTCTTTATCTAGAATCAATAAATATATCCTCTGGTGAGGATTAAAAAACTAAACAAAACACATCTACCATACTCTACTTTGGGGCCTTTGCAATTTCTCTCTGCCTGAAAAGCTTTTTCTACTAGAATAGTTACATGGCTGGCTCTCTCACTTATTTTGCTTAAATATCACCTTTATCAGAGAAACCTTCCCTGACCACTCTAAAATAACAATAGCAACCACCTATTTTCCCCATTCATCACTTCCTATCCCCTGGTCTGCTATTTTCATTTTGAATTTATCAGCACCAAATATATTTATTTGTTTGTTTGATTGTCATCTCTTGCTGATCCCCCTACACACACGTTAGGATAAAAGCTTCCTGAGAGTGAGAACTTGGATGTTTTGGATGTTTTTCCTGAAACTTGGTTATGATCCCTGTTATATATATCCCAAGTGCCTAGAAAAGTGTCTGTCACATTTTATGTATTGGATGAATGATTATGGGATGAATGAATAATTTTAGTACAGGACAGGACTTTCTTCCCCCTCTTTTTAATAAATTTTCAGTTACAGCTCACACTTAATATTATACTAGTTTTAGGTATACAGCATAGTGGTAAGACATTTATATAACTTATGAAGCATCGCCCCCCCATAAGTCTAGTACCCATACATAGTTATTACAGTATTATTGACATATATTTACTATGCTGAACTCTATATCTCTGTAACTGTTTTATAACTGCTAGTTTGTGCTTATTAATCCCTTCACCTGTTTTCACCCAGTGCCCCAATCTCCCTCCCCTCTGGCAACTATCAGTTTGTTCTCTATGAATTAGTTGGAATTTGTTCTGTTTGTTCATTTGTTTTGTTTTTTTTTAGATTTCACATATAAGTAAAATCATGGTATTTGTCTTTGTCTGACCTAAGGACTTTTTAAATTCTTAAAATTTGTTTGTTTGTATATGAGAGAGAGACATTGATTTGTTGTTCCACTTACATGTGCATTTATTGGTTGCTTCTTATATGTGCCCTGATCCGAGATCTAACTCACAACCTTAGCTATTGGGACAATGTTCTAACCAATTGAGCTATCAGGCCAGGACTTAAGGACTTTTTAAAAAACAATCCTCAATCTTCCCTCCCTCACTATTTTGGCTGTTTGAATTTGAATATAACTCTAGTGAGGCCAAGAAATTGATGGGTTTGTTAGTATCATTAATAGGAACCTTGCAGTTTTTTAAAAAGATTTTTTGTATATTTATTTTTAGACAGGGGGGAAGGGAAGGACAGAGAGGGAGAGAAACATCAGTGTGTGTTTGCCTCTCACACACCCCCAACTGGGAGGATCTGGTTTGCGACTCAGGCATGTGCCCTGACTGGGAATTGATCCAGTGACCTTTCCAGTGCTTTTCAGGCTGGCATGCAGTCCACTGAGACACACCAGCCAGGACACTCTACTTCATATTCTTGGCTTTCCTTAGTATAAGTTGGTTTTTACCTACTTTTGTTAAACTTCTAATGATGCATGCTGTGAATTATGTGTATTGTTTAGGTTTCAGTACATTTGGCAGGTGACAGCATTATCAGATATTACCTGGGAGTTGCTGAGTTATATTTCCTAGAATCACAAATTTGGTCTTCTGACCAGTCAAAAATATGCTAGGGGGTGGGGCATGTCAGAGTAAGTTGATGTATCCTTCTTAAAGTAAACAGCAACTCAGTTTGTCTAGTGATGAGGAGAAAGATAATTTCCTGTTTGGCACGTCCGTCCTTAATATTTGATATTCTTTGGGAAAAATGAACTCCGGTCAAAGGTACATCTCTCCTTTTGGCTCAGGTGTGTGTTATTTACTGTATATAAATAAACCTATGGTTGCTACTCTGTGGACCACTTTTTTTTTTATTTTTGTTTATAAATCTTTCCCATCATTCCTGTTAGGGTGACATTTGTTAAGCTATGTAGTTTGACAGATATTTGAGTGCCTACTGGATGCTAAACATAGTAGCAGGCACCCGGAAAACAGTACACTAAACAGAATTTCTTTCCCTACATTGCTGATTGGTTGGTACTATAATGACTGGCAACATTACGAGCCCCATTTTAAAATCAGGACACAGTTACAAAGTGCCACACTGCCCAAGCAGAATGGATGACAGTCCTCACTGTACTGAAATGCCTATGGAGAAATTTAGCTTAGAGGATTAGTTCCTCAGGAATTCTTTGACATCATTCATGCTTCCTCCATCCGACCCTGTTCTAATCAGGACCACATTAAATCTTTACTGTATGTTCCTAACAGTATCCTTTGCATACTCTCTCTAAACATTACCTCTTGTATAATCCTGTTTTGTCACTGCTCCTAGGCCTCACAGTGCTGTGAGGACAAACTGAGTTAACACATATAAAGCACTTAGAATAGTGAGTACCTGGGATATAGTAAGTACTCTACCTATTTGTCATTATTCGTAGCTATTTTTTTATTCTGTTCCACTTATCCACTGGCAGGTTGATATTTTGAGCACAGATTTGGCATATTCTTTCTCCTACATCATAACCTAAGGTGGTCAAATTCTAAGAACCTGGGAATAGAATTCTGAAAAATAAGTTTGGCATCTTTTACAGGTTAATTCTGTTAGCATCTACTTCAAGAAATTGTCAGAATTGTAATGTTTTACATATCCTTGAATATTAAAAAAACTGGTAATATTTCTGGGAATTGAAACCCTTAAAAAGCAGTATTATTTAGTTCCTATCTCCAATAGTGCAGTCAAAATGTCACATTATTCTTGTCTAAGGTAATGTCATCAGTATTATCATAAGTATGTATTCTTGAATAACATTGTGTATTTCTTTTTATAGACCATTTAATTTGGCAGAACGGAAAGCATGCGCCCATTCTGTAGTAGAATGTGATCATGTACGAAAAGAAGTTAGTGTACGAACTGGAGGATTGGCCGACAAGAGCTCAAGGAAAACATATACTTTTGATATGGTACTTAAAATGCTGCTACTTCTGTTACTCACGAATGCAAAGTTATCCTAGTATACATACTTCCTTTAGGTTCTAGTGTACAGTGACAAGTTTCAGTTGACTCTGAGTTGGCAGTGGCTTCTAGAGGGCTGAATGAGTTAATTTTTAAAAAATATTTTATTTATTTTTAGAGAGGGGAAGGGAGGGAGAAAGAGAGGGAGCTAAACATTTATGTGAGAGAGAAACATTAATTGGTTGCTTCTCATTCGTGTCCCCCAGTGGGGACCTAACCTGCAACCCAGGCATGTGCCCTGACTGGGGAATTGAACTGGAGACTTTGCACTTTGTGGGGTGACACCCAACCAACCAAGCCAACCAGTCAGGGCTGAATAAGTTAATATATTAAAAATAAAATTATTAAAGTGGGTAATTTTTAAAATGTTTTTCTTGAAATGCTTTAATTTTTTTTAATAGGTTTTTGGAGCATCTACTAAACAAATAGACGTTTATCGAAGTGTTGTTTGCCCAATTCTGGATGAAGTTATTATGGGCTATAACTGCACTATTTTTGCGTGAGTGAATTATTTTTCAAATTGATGAAAAGTTTTAATAATGTATGTGTTCGTTTCTTATTCAACATTTTTGTTAATCCTGACAGATACGGCCAAACTGGCACTGGAAAAACCTTTACAATGGAAGGTGAAAGGTCACCTAATGAAGAATATACTTGGGAAGAGGTATTTGTTGATTAAAACAGACTTCTGTCTCTGAAGTAGCTGAAATATAATGGAATAAAACTTGGCTGAAGGACTTTGTCTTGAAATAGAGAAGAGTACCCATGTTAATAATAGCAGGAATTTATGATGAACTACTACTATAGTAGAATTAGTATATATGGTATGGCTTCTGTTTAAGAAATATATAGTCTCATTGGGAGAGATTGGGCCAAACCATATGGTATAGTTAAGTGATAAGAGAGGGGTCTGTCTGGGACAGAATAGTTGGAGAAGAATATTGTGGAGAAGTGGAATGTGAGTGGGGTTTAGAGGGGAAGACTTTGCAACAAGGGAATGAATCTCAAAGTTAAAGTAGCAAGGGGCAGTATCATGGTTGCTATGATCACCGTGAGTGTTCAAGAAATTAAGGTCACTGCATTGTTGAATATAGTAGGGAACAAATAGTACATTTCACAAAGGTTTTCACCAAGTGTTTCACTGAATTTAGTGACCAAGTCATTTAGTCATTATTAACATTTAGGTGTTGTTATTATTAACATTTAGGTAGATCCTTTTTCCCTAAAGGTTATATATAGTTGAGGCATTAACTTTATGCATGAATAATAAAGTTATGAAACTAACTGTAGGAGATTATAGAATAGGCTTAAGTCGAAGTTTCAAAATCTAGGGATTTATAATAATTTTATTAAGGATATTTACATATTTGAGAATTCTATTTTATGTCAGATTAGGGAATATACTTTTAATTTTAAGATTTTATGTCTTTATTTTTAGAAAGAGGGTCAGGGAGGGAGAAAGAGACGGAGATAAACATTGACATGTGGTTGCCTCTCACATGCCCCCAAAGGGGACCTAGCCTATAATCCAGGCATGTGCCCTGACCGGGAATTGCACTGGTGACCTTTTGGTTTACAGGCCAGCCCTCATCCACTGTGCCACACCAGCCAGGGCAGGGAATATACTTTTAATGGGCCATTTTCCTGATTAAAATGGTGGTATTATGTACTCATAAGAACAGTTGGAAAGAATTATTGAACTTGGCTTTATAAATAGCTTGATTCAGCTGTTTTTTGTGTAATGCTCAGGCACAAAGTGTCTGGCAGGCATGGCAGATTAGTGGAAGGTATAAAGAATAATTACTGTTTAATAGACTGTTGCAAATGACTTGGCTTCTCTAACATTAGCCTAGTGGTTTTTTTTTAACTTGTTTTGACGTAGTTACACTTAAAAATACTATAAAAGCAGGCCCTTGTTATATGTGTTTTAATTGCCACAGTAAATGCTGTTCTGCCTATATTTTAGCCCTCATTAATATCACAATTTCAGGATCCTTTGGCTGGTATAATTCCACGTACTCTTCATCAGATTTTTGAGAAACTTACTGATAATGGTACTGAATTTTCAGTCAAAGTGTCTTTGTTGGAAATCTATAATGAAGAACTTTTTGATCTCCTTAATCCATCCTCTGATGTTTCGGAGAGACTACAGATGTTTGATGATCCTCGTAACAAGGTAACTCAGTCTTTGGGAATGAACTATCTGCAAATTTTAATGTGTGTTGCTTTGGGAAGTCTGTGTGTGTGTACCAATCTAATGGGGCTTTTTTTGATGTTTGGTCAGAGGGGAGTGATAATCAAAGGTTTAGAAGAAATTACAGTACACAACAAGGATGAAGTTTATCAAATTTTGGAGAAGGGAGCAGCAAAAAGGACAACTGCAGCAACATTAATGAATGCATACTCTAGGTAAGAAAACCACTGTCCCCTTCATGTTCCACTTTCTTTTTAAGAATAATTATGAACTTGGGGGAAATCAAATTGGAGTGGGTCAAATTATGTGAGTCACATACCTAGATGTTATGCTAGGCTGCATGTAGTAATTGGTTCGAGATTTATGGGGAAGTACCAATATTGGAAGAATGCTGAGGGGAGAACCAAGACAAGTTGAACTATTAAGCAGAAGTAGCAAACTTTTTTTAAGTTAGAATTTTTTCCCCTCAAATGAAATTGTACATGGGATCCCAGATTAAAATATAGCTGCTGTGGTTGATTTGGGGATGGAATTCTCTGAGGCTTATCTCCTCAGCCTTAAGATAGTTTATTCTGAGCATTTTTTCTGAAGCCCCTATTTATACTTAAAAAGTGGTTATAAAACCCTTGGTTTAAGTAAGGATTAGATGAAAATCAAATAATTTTTTTAAACTTTATTTTGATATGATTAACAAAACTGTGTATATTTAGTTTGTACAACATTTGTTTTTTCAAATAGCTTCATTTTAATGTAAGAGGACAGATGATCATTAACACTGACTTTCAAGGAGAAAGGGGGCATACTTGATAGTACCCTCTATAGGGTGGATCCCAGACTCTACAAATGTAGTTTACCAACTTAGAAGTAACTTTCTCCCTCTTGGTCTTTGAAGGAAACATCAGAGTGTAATTGTTAGAGCTTTGGGTTGGGAATTAGGCATTTGTGTTTAGTTCCAGTTCCACAGTTAACTAAATACAACTTCAGGTGAGTAAGCAAACTTATCTGAATATCAGTTTCCCTGAGCTACAAAATGATTGTTAGGACTAGATCTCTTATTTTCTTGCTCCCTCATTATTGAAATTTGTACAATATCCTATAACAAATGTAGTTGCAACTTTATACAAATGTGTATACATTTAAAGAAAGAAGAAAAACAACATGGAAGTAATTAAAATCATGGAATTATGGGTGATTTTATCATTTTATTTAAATTTTCCATAATAGCGTTCCATTTTTGAAACATATTATAAATCAATTTTCAGTGAAAATTCTATGATTGGCTTGTAACTTTTATATAGAATGAAATGGAGGAATGAATTTAAGACTAGGTAAAATTTCTTTTCTCTAAAAATGCTGAAATATAAAATTCCTATTTTATAAATTTGTATAATTTGGGTCTCCTTTTTTATATATATGTAGACTGGAATAAATATCTCATCTTTTTTAAAAAATATTTTATTCATTTATCTTTAGAGAGGAAGGGAAGGAGAGAGGGAGAGAAATATCAATGTATGGTTGCCTCTTTCTTGTGTGTCCCCCACTGGGAACTGGCCTGCAACCCAGGCATGTGCCCTGACTGGGAATCGAATGGCGATCCTTTAGTTCGCAGGCCTGCACTCAATCCACTGAGCTACACCAGCCAGGGCTCATTTTTTAAACAATTTTATTTACTTATTTTAGAGAGATAAACATCAATTTGTTGTTTTGCTTATATAAGCATTCATTCATAGCTTCTTGTATGTGCCCTGACCAGGTATCAAATCCACAACCTTGGCATGATGCTCCAGTCAACTGAGCCACCCTGGCTAGGGCAATATGACTTTTTATGAATGTATGTGATAAAAAGAAGGAAGACATAATTAAATTTTCTAAAATCAGAGTTGACATCTATACTTAATTGCAATTAATTGCAGTCTTAGATTAGGAATGGGTAAACATTGGTAGAAAAACATGAACTGTATGTTATGGTTTAGATTTATAGTTTATATTTTTCTTGTACCTGTCCTTTTTTCCGTAATTTTAAATAATTTAAGTTTTATAAAAATGATATTTATTATAAAATTTTTCAAGTAATATGAAAAGTACAAATAAGAAAATTACCCTATTCCCTACTGTCAATGACATCAACAAACAATGATGGTCACCAAAGGATACAGAAAGGAAAGATGCCTCAGGTGTCTCTATAGTTGTGAGCCACATAACTGTTTGGTTATGATGGATGGCATATATGACAGTGGTCTTTTATGATTGTAGTATAGCTGAAATGTTCCTATCACCTAGTGATGTCATAATTGACAACAGTGTAGAGTTAAAGCATTACTAATGTGTTTCCGGTAATGCTGATGTAAATGAACCTACTGTGCTTCCAGGCATGTAAAAGGAAAGCACATATAATTATGGTAGTAGACTATATACCATTTAGTTTGAGTAAGTACACTCTATGATGTTTGCATAAACGTAGCCCAACAACACATTTCTCAGAACATGTTTCTGTTCAGTTGTACATGACTAATTTTTGTATCCTTCAGATAAAGCCAAATGTCAGTGTGCAGCATAAGATACACTTTAGAATACTTTATAACCTAACAGTGATTATCTTCTGGTGTTTTGGTAATTATTGTTATGTACTATTTCTGCTGTTCAGAAAAAGGAGTTTTACCTATTTCTTATGACATTCTCCAAGCAGAGTGATGACACAGTTGACACTGTGGGGGAGTAGTCGGATGGCTTGCCTGGTGCTGTTTGAATTTATGGTAATGACATATTTCAGATGGTTCTTATGAATAGGAAGATTGATCGTAAGCCTTCCATTTGGACACACCAGGCAGCTGTCCCAATCCTATCCCACATTCAGTTTTCAGAGGCGCCTGAGGATTCTAGTTTTCTAAGTCTTCTAGAGTGTTTTAAATAGCTTCTTATTGTATTCTCCTATAGGCAGTAGGTACAAGAAAGCAAAAACCTAATTGTTGTTTTATCAACCTTCTGTCTTCTAAAATCTTACTGAAATCTCCTGTCAGATACTATCTTTCTTTACTTTTGTGGATCAATATCTTGGCTGTTTTCAATTTTTTACAGAAAGCAAATATTTTGTATTATAATGATTGGGGAACTTGATCTTGTTTTCTAGTCGTTCCCACTCGGTTTTCTCTGTTACAATACATATGAAAGAAACTACAATTGATGGAGAGGAGCTTGTTAAAATTGGAAAGTTGAACTTGGTAAGCACCTACCTTAATACCACTGTTTTATTCTTTTTGTTTTTTACTCAGCTTTATTGAGGTATAATTGACAAATAGAATTATGTATTTAAAGTATACAATATGATAATTTGATATATGTATTCTTTGTAAAATGATTAACATAGTCAGATTAACATATCTATTACCTCACATACTTTTTTAAATTTGAGAACATATGAAATCTACTTTCCTAGCAAATTTCAGTATAGTATTATTAACTTTACTTCCTAGTGTGCTTCAGATCCCCAAACTTACTCATCTTATCACTGAAGTCTTGTACCCTTTGACCAGCGTGTCCCTATATCCCCAACCTCTCTGCTCCTGTTAACCAACATTCTTCTCTCCTTTCTCCCCACCTCTCCCACTAATTCCACATGTAAGTGAGATCATACAGTATTTGTATTTTTGTCTTGTCTGGCTTTTTTCACGTAGCATATTGTTCTCTAGGTTCATCCATGTTGTTGCAAGTGGTAGAATTTTCTTTCTCATGGTTGAATAATATTTCATTGTGTGTATTGTATATAGCACATTATCTGTTCATCCACTGATAGACACATTTCCATGTCTTTGGTATTTTGAATAATGCAATGGACATGGAAGTGCACATATCTCTGTGAGAAACTGATTTCATTCCCTTAGCATATATACCCAGAAGTGGGGTTGGTAGTTCTATTCTACTGTTTCCTTCTTGATCCTCTCATAGAGCAGCCTGAAATTTTGTGTTTCTAGAAAATATTTTTATAGTTACTGAGTTATTAGCTTTGTAGTGGGTTGCTAATTAGAGAAAAATTATTTTGCTGGCTATTTAATACATTCTGCATAATATGAGAATGAAAGTCTTCAAGTCCAAATCCAATAGCCTGACAGCCTTTTTTTTTTTTTCAATTCAAGGTTGATCTTGCAGGAAGTGAAAATATTGGCCGTTCTGGAGCAGTTGACAAGAGAGCTCGGGAAGCTGGAAATATCAATCAATCCCTGTTGACTTTAGGAAGAGTTATTACTGCTCTTGTAGAAAGAACACCTCATGTTCCCTACCGAGAATCTAAACTAACTAGAATCCTCCAGGATTCTCTTGGGGGACGTACAAAAACATCTATAATTGCAACAATTTCTCCTGCATCTCTCAATCTTGAGGTAAGCTCTTTGAAAGGTTTCTGCAAGTGTGGTAGCTGAAATTCTTATTTAGCTATCACATTGTCTTTTAAAGTTTATTAACTGGCTTTATTAATTCTATATTATAACAAAAAGAATCTGGACATTGCATATGGACACTGAAAAAAATCTCTTTCTCCTTTCCTGACAGGGTTTTTAATTTGAAAAAGTAGTCACTTACTGGTTTTTCCCACACGCTCATCAAAGAAAATTGCTGTGGTCATCAGCAGTGTATGGTTACATGGGGTATGGAGATTTAATTGAGGATTTAGAAGTGGGTTAAGTGAATGTTAATATTATAGATACTGCTTAGAGAGCAGTGAGGATGGGGTTGGGTGTATGGGAACAGGTGCAAAAACTAAAAGAAGAAACAAAGATGGCAAAATCTACTTTTATTTTATTGTAATCATTTACTTTAAATGGAATTAGAAAAACTTTGTAAGGTCTCTATCTCTCCTGTCCTTTTAAAAAATATTTTTATTGAGATAATTTACATATTATAAAATTCACCCATTAAATGTATATAATTCAGTAATTTTACTATATTCACAGAGCTGTGTGATCATGGCCAAAATTTAAGTTTAGAATATTTTCATCACTCCAGAAAGAAACCCTGTAACCCCTAAGCACTCACTCTCCATGTATTTCTAGTCCCAGCCCTCGGTCACTGCTAATCTACTCCTTTTAATCTGTAGATTGGCCTATTCTGGACATTTCATGTAGATGGAATCATATAATAAGTGTTCTTTTGTGACTGGTTTCATTCATTTAGCATAATGTTTTCATTGTTCATCCATGTTGTACCATGGGTCAGTATTTCATTCCTTTTTGTGGATGAGTGATATGAGGTCTGTCTGGAAGAACTCTAGTCATTGTTAATATAACGAGAATGTTTTCCATGACATTGAATCTATGTAACCTGGCAGCTAAGGAGAGTGGACTGAAGTGTGCACATGTGTGAACTATGACAACTTCACTGGACTGGTCAGTGAGGGCAGTAGATGCCATTGAGTGAGCATGTATGGTGTGTGGCCATAGCATTCAAAATGACTGACTGAGTAGAGTAACAAATCTGCATCAAATTTTGTGTTACACTTGAACATTCCTTCACAGAAACTATTCAGATGATTCAGAAGCTATGGGCAATTGGTGATTGGCAGCTTCATTACCACAGCTTGCCTACTCATGAATCATGTTTCATGCAGAGTTTTTTGGTGAAACATCAGATCACCCAGGTGACTCAGCCCTGCTACAGCTCAGATTTGGTGCCTTCGACTTCTGGCTTTTCCCCAAACTAAAATCACCTTTGAAAGGGAAGAGATTTCAGACCATCAATGAGATTCGGGAGAACTGTGTAAGGCCCCAAGGTGCCTACTTAGAAGGGGACTGAGGCATCATTGTCCTATGTACAATGTTTCTTGTATCTTCAGTAAATGTGCCCATTTTTCTTATTACATGGTTGAATACCTTCTGGACAGACCTTGTATTCCATTGAATGGATATAGGACATTTTTTTTATTCATCAGTTGATTGAATTCACTGAGTTTTGAAGACTAGTCTAAAGTAAAAAATTACTGGATCAAGTTATCAAAAAGTTAAAGGCCCTAAAATTGAAGAGAAAGAAAAAAGATAAGGATGTTTTGACCAATCTCTTTTTTAAAGGTTGGGTATAGTAGTCTCAGTAGATTTTCAGATTAGCTATAACCATAAATTATTAGTTATTAGTTATTTATATAGTACAGTTTATATAACAGAACTACAATCTCATATTATCTTTAGTAAATTGCCTTTTTCATCACAGGAAACTCTGAGTACATTGGAATATGCTCACAGAGCAAAGAACATACTGAATAAGCCTGAAGTTAACCAGAAACTAACAAAAAAAGCCCTGATTAAGGTAATTGTGAAGTTTTGTGAAATATAATCTTTTTTCACAAATGTGAAAGTAAGGAACTGCAGTATATAATTGTTAAAAGATTTGTTAAATTGCCTGTGGTAGGACTTGTCATCTGATGATTTAAAGCAAATACCCTGTACATTAAAATAATTTTTCTAATGCTAATGTGTTGACTTTATCAGCTCTATTAAATCAGAAAAATTTGAAAATATTTACATTTACAAAATTTATTTATTTATTTATTTATAGCTTTAGGGTATAATTATCATAGATTAGGGTATAAATACTGTAGCATTCACCCATTGTAAGTCTACATTTCATGATTTTTGTTTATTAGATTCCACATATGCACGAAATCTTACGGTATTTCTCTTTCTCTGACTGACTTATTTCACTTAGCATAATGCCCTCCAGGCCTATGCTGCTCTCCAAAGGGTAATATTTCCTTCATTTTTATGGCCGAGTAATATTCCATTAGTAAATATACCACAGCTTTTTCTATTCCATCATTGACGGATGGACACGGGCTGCTTTCAGATCTTGGCTATTATAAATAACACTACAGTGAACATAGGGGTGCATATATTCTTTCAAATTAGCATTTTGTGTTTCTTTGAATATATTCCCAGCAGTATAATTTCTGGGTGATAAGAGAGTTACATTTTTAATTTTCTGACGTAACTTCGTACTCTTTTCCACAGAGGTTGCACAAATCTGCATTCCCACCCACAGTGCACAAGGATTCCCTTTTTTTTATGTTGTCACCAACACTTTTTTGATTTACTTATGATAGCCATTCCGACAGGTGTGATATGGTATCTCATTGTGGGTTTTTAAAAAATTTTTAAGTGTATTTTATTGATTATGCTATTGCAGTTGTCCTATTTTTTTCTCCCCTTTATTATCTTCCACCCCTACCCCCACCACCATTCCCCTCTTCTTAGTTTGTGTCCGTGGGTCCTACACATAAGTTCTTTGGCTTCTCCATTTCCTGTGCTATTCTTAACCTCCCCCTGTCTGTTTTAAACCTACCATTTATGCTTCTTATTCCCTGTACCTTTTCCCCCATTCTCCTTGCTCTGCTGATAACCCTCCATGTGATCTCCATTTCTGTGATTCTGTTCCTGTTCTAGTTGTTTGCTTAGTTTATTTCTGTTTTTGTTTTCTTTTAGGTTCAGTTGTTGATAGTTGTGAGTTTGTCATTTTACTGTTCGTAGTTCAGTTTTTGCCATTTTGATCAGTTCTTTCATTTGGGCCATATTTCTTTGTCTTGGGGCAACTGTTACATTTTAAGGGGTGTAGCCTTAGACATTCACCAGGGTGGGCTTGTGGCACTGCATGTGGGGGAGGGGTCACAGGGAACAGTGTCACTTGCTCGGCTCTCCCCCAGCTTTCAGTCACTTCCCCAACTACTCACAAGCAAATTGGGCCCTTCTGGTGCTGATTTCTGGGTGGGTGGATTTGTGTATGTTCTAGGACCTTATGTATCTCTCCTGTGAAGCTGGGAGTTTCTCCCACTGCCACAACCCCCACATATTTTTATAGTCAGAAGTTTTGAGGCTTTATTTTCCTGTACTGGAACCCTGGGTTGTGCTGTCTTATTCCCCAGTTATTCCTCCCAGTTTATCTGCACCCAAATGTGGGACCCCTAGTCCACCAGCTGCTGCCTTGCCCCAAGTCCTCTCCACCTTGGTGTCTGCGCCCCTCCTACTGGTCTGATGAATGTTTCTTTTTTAATTCCTTGGTTGTCGGACTTCCATACAGTTTGATTATCTGTCAGTTCTGGTTGTTTCTTGTTTTTAAATTTGTTGTCCTTTTGGTTGTGCAAGGAGGCACAGTATGTCTACCTATGCTTCCATCTTGGCCGGAAGTAAATGTTTTTAATTTCAGTGTGATCCATTGTTCCTTTTATGGATTGTGCTTTTGGTATCAGTTCTAACAACTCTGTCTAGCTCTATGTCCTGAAGACTTTTTCTTTAAAAAAAAACAAAAACAAAAAACCAACCCTTAAGGCTCTGGACTGAGCGTGGGCCTGCAAACTAAGGAATCACAGTCTGATTCCCAGTCAGGGCACATGCCTGGGTTGCAGGCCAGTTCCCAGCATGGGACTCAAGAGAGGCAACCGTACATTGATATTTCTCTCCTTCTCTCCTTCCCTTCCTCTCAATAAATAAATAAATAAATAAATAAATAAATAAATAAAATATTAAAAAAAAAACAAAAACCAAACTTAAAAAATCTACATTTCACATTTAAATTCATGATCCATTTTGAACTGATTCTTGTTAAAGGTGTAAAATTTGGGTCAGGCAGCAATGTTTTGCCTGGTGGTTGTGGTGGTGGTGGTGGCGGCAGCGGTAGTGGTTTGGATTGCTTTAGCAGCCTTTGTTGAAAAGGCTGTATTTTCTCGGTTGAATTGATTTTGTACCTTTGTGAAAAATCATTTGGGTATATTTGTGGACTCCTGTTTCTGTTCCATTGATTTATATATCCCCTCCCCAATACTAAACAGTTTTAATTACCATAGCTGTGTAATAACTCTTAGAATCAAGTACAATTTAAATGAAAGTTTATACAAGAAAACATTTTTCTTTATAAAAGACTTCAAAATAGGCCCAGAGAAAAACTACATTAATTTTATATGTATTATTTTTAGAATATTACGCTTTTAAATAAGCATTATTTTATTTCGATACTTGATTTTTTGAGCCCTAATGCTTTTATTAAATCTAAAAATATTTCAGTGATTCTTTAATATTTATCAAAATATTTAGCCATTGTTTAAAATTTCAGCTGTTTCAGTTTATACTTTTTTCTATTTTTTAAAATTATATTTTATTGATTATATTATTACAGTTGTCGTGATTCTTCTGCATTTGCCCTTTTATACCCAGCACCCCCCATTTCCTCAGGCAATCCTCCCACCATCATTTATGTTAATGGGTCATACATATAAGTTCTTGGGCCACTGCATTTCCTGTACTGTACTTTACACCCCATGGCTGTTCTATAACTACCTATTTGTACTTAGTCTTCTCACCTCTTCTCTCACTCCACCACACCCCCCCCCCATCTGGCAATAATGGTAACCGTCTCTGTATCAGTGATTCTGTCTCTATTCTTTGTTTGCTTAGTTTGTCTTTTAGATTCAGTTGTTGATAGATATGTATTTATTGCTATTTTACTGTTCATAGTTTTGTTCTTTTTCTTAAATAAGATCCTTTAAAATTTCATATAATAATGGTTTGGTGATGATGAACTCCTTTAGTTTCTTCTTGTCTGGGAAGCTCTTTACCTGCCCTTTGATTCTAAATGATAGCTTTGCTGGGTAGAGAAATCTTGGTTGTAGGTCCCTGCTTTTCATGACTTTGAATATTTCTTGCTAGTCCCTTTTTGCCTGTGAAGTTTCTTTAGAGAAATCAGCTGACAGTCTTATGGGAACTTCTTTTCTTATGCTGCTTTTAAGATTCTCTCTTTATCTTTAACCTTTGGCATTTTAATTATGATGTGTTTTGGAGTGGGCCTCTTTGCATCCATCTTATTTGGGACTCTCTGTGCTTCCTGGACTGACATGTCTGTTTCCTTCACCAAATTAGGGAAGTTTTCTTTCATTATTTTTTCAGATAGAGTTCCAATTTCTTGCTCTTTCTCTTCTCCTTCTGTCACCCCTGTGATGAGAATGTCGGACCTCTTGAAGTTGTCCCACAGGCTACTTACACTGTCCTCATTTTTTTTGGGGGGGGGGTTCTTTTTCTTCTTCTGATTGGTTGCTTTTTGCTTCCTTATGTTCCAAATCATGGATTTGATTCTCAGCTTCATCCATTCTACTGTTGTTTCCCTGTAAATTGTTCTTTATTTCAATTAGTGTATTCTTCATTTCTGACAGTTTTTATGCTGTTCAAACCAGTGTTTTGAACTCTGCATCTGATAGATTGCTCATCACCATTTTATTTAGTTTTGTTTTTTTTTCCTGGAGTCTTGACCCAGGAAATGAGTTCTTTCATTTGGGCCATGTTTCTTTGTTTCCTTGTTTGGACAGCCTCCCTGTGTTTGTTTCTATGTATTAGGTAGAGCTGCTTTGACTCAGTCTTGGTAGTGTGGCCTAGTATAGTAGGTGTCCTGTAGGGTTAAGTGGCACAACCTCCCCTATTACCCAAGCTGGGTGTTCAAGGTGCACCCTTTGTGTAGGCTGAGTACACCTTCCTTTTGTAGTTGAGACTTAATTGCTGTTGGAATTCAGGTGCAAGGATTAGCTCTGACCACTGACTACCAACCTCTGCCCTCTGGAGGATCAGCTGTGCAGGGGCAGGGTGGTGGTACTCCAGCACAGTCTGTAGTTGTCCAGTGGGTGAGCAGGCTCTGGGATCTGCCAGGTTGTATAGGCCGAGGTAAGCCCCTACCTGTGTTCTGCCCGGGGCCACCCTGCATGAACTATATATAGGGCTGTCTGAGATGTGTCCTACGATTGGAGAGTCCCAAGTGAAGACAAATTGTGAATCTGCACTGGCTGCTGCTAGTGCTGGGCCTAGGGCTCACTAAGGCCAGCTGTTGCTTATTTGAGAGAATTTGGGAAGTTGTGAAGCCTGAGCCATGCCCAGCCATTCATATGGAAAAGCAGCTTGGGTGGGCCCATAAATTGGGTGGGTTGGAGTCTCATGGGATCTCCAGGGCAGGGCAAATAGTGTTAGCCAGGTTTTGGAGTCTCAGACATGGCACCAGCTTGCTAGCTGTGTGGTTCTGTGTGGGGAGGAAGAATGGCCTCTGCTCGCCTTGATGCCAGACATTTCTGTTTCTCCCGTATGCCACTGGTGCCTTTCAAGCTGTTATCCCAGTGCTGAAGCTCAGAGGGAGTGAGTCTGAATAGGTGAGTCCATGTGAGGGTTCTTCAAGAGGAACTGCTTGGGGCTTTAGCAGTTTCTTCAACCAATTGAATTCTTGCTGGTTTTTGCAGCCAGAAGTTATGGGGACTTACCTTCCTGGCACTGGAACCCTAAGCTGGGGAGCCTGGTATGGGGCTGGGACTCCTCTACCCAAGATATCCCTCCTGAATTTTTATCGACCCTACATAGATGTGGCACCTGCTTATTCTGCTTCTGCCCCTATTACCAGTCTGAATGGATGTGGTTTCTTTAATTCTGTAGTTGTCATTCATCTTGGTTTCTAATGGTCTGAGTGATGATTCTATATTTTAGTTGTAATTTTGATGTGGTTGTGGGAGGAAATGAGTCATGCCTGCCTATGCTGCCATCTTAACTGGAAGTCCTGTATTTTTTTTTTTTAAATAGTTTGTTTTAGGATCCAAATAAGGTTTATCCTTTGCAGTTTTTTGGATATCTTTGATCTCAGTACATTGGTTATCTTTGGTCTTAATACATTGGTTCTCCTTTCATCTCCTCCCCATCCCTGCCACCCCCGTAATTTATTTGTAAAAGTACCTGTATTATTTGTCCTGTGGTATCTTGGATGTTCTCTTCTTTGTATTTTTCTGTACATTGGTAGTGGATCTTGAGGCTTCATAGATTTAGGTTTCACCTTATTTATGTGTTTTTGGCAAAATTGTTTCATAGGTGGTGGTATGTTCTACCAGGAAACACATGTCTGCTTCTTTATCTTTTTTGAGGAATTGATGATATTCAATGATTCGATACATTAGTTCTTTAAGGGTTGCAAAATGGTAATTTTCTAATTCCGTTGCTCTTAATTGATTGCTGGGCCACCTCTGTAAAGAGGATCCTGCATTAGCTACCCAAGAGTATAGTTCTTACAGGGAAGGCAGGAAAAATAACTTAATTCATTTCCTTTATATGACAGTTTTGAGAATGAGTTGGTTTCATAACTTTCATAATGTCATTGTAAATTCATGGACTTAAAATACTTATGTTAGCCATAACTTAAAATCATAGTTATTATCATCACTGATTTTTTAATTGTTTCTCCTTTGGTTCGTGGTAACCTCTTCGTGTAAGTTCTTGAGTCCCTTTTACTAGCCTAAGCTTTTTAAGCTTCCCTCCTATTTTGTTTGACAAAGTGTTCTGGGTTCATCTTGAATGTTTCTTGCCCCTGTGCTAGAGTCGGACACTTCCCCAAGGAATCCTGTTTATTTATAGTGTGAAATGCTAATATGGAGACCAACCTGGGTACTGGCGGTTGTTGGTTTTGTTTTTTCACCCCAGAAGCCTGTGTTTTTATGAGTACATTTAAGGGCTCTTTGAAAGCTATTGAAAGACTTTATTCTAAACAGATTAATATTCAATGAAGAGGATGGTTATAATTTTTTAGGCCAACTTTATTTGTTGTATATTCTCCCAAAATCTAATTTAAAAACAAAGTAAATTCTAAATTTACACCTACAGCATTCTTCTTGTTTAGGAATATACAGAAGAGATAGAGCGTCTGAAACGAGATCTCGCTGCAGCCCGTGAAAAAAATGGGGTATACATTTCTGAAGAAAATTTTAGGTAAGCCCTTTGGAAATTAATTTACAAGAATTAGCATTTTCTTCCTTTTGTTTTAAGTTGTTCTTCTGTCGCAGTTGTCCCAGTTTCCCCCTTTGCCCTTCTCTGCAAAGCCCACCCCCAGCTCCCATAGTCAGTCCCCACACTGTTGTCTGTGGCTATGGGTCACTGATACATGTTCTTCGACTAGTCCCTTCCCCTTCCTTCCACTGGTATCCCTCTCCTCCTCCCCAAATATAAGCATTTTCTGGTAACAGGCTGTTTGAAGTAAAATGTACTTATCTGACAGTAAATAAAGTCTTTATATATAGTACCTCCTACAAATGCTTGTTTCTCTTTTATTAACTAGTTATCAAACAGTTTAAAAAGTTTTTATATAACTTTATTTTTAGAATAATTTAATTATAGATTCATATGAAATTACAAGAAAAGTACATAGAAGTTCCGTTTATTTTTCATTCAGTCACCCATTGGTTACCTCTTAAATAACTATAGTACAGCGTCAAAATTGGAAATTGACATTGGTATAATGTGTGTATGCTTTTGTGCCATTTTATCACATTTGTAGATTTGTGTAGTTCTACATTTAAGGTACAGAATTATCCTATCATAACAAAAATTTCCCTTTTGCCACCTCTTTATAAGTCATATCCACCTTCTTCTCCAGTAATCCCCAACCCTCAGCAACCATTAATCTATTTACTTTTTAAAGCTCTGGAGTAGTTTGTTCAAAGGAAGATATCTAATGAAGCATTAGGCAGAAACAAATAATAGATTAAACAAAGGGCACAGGATTATAAATTGAAAAATTTTTAGTGCTTTTATCCTAAGGAGGGTGCCTTTCACAGGGCATTTTTTTAAAATATTTTATTTATTTATTTTTCGAGAGAGGGGAAGGGAAGGAGAAAGAGTGGGAGAGAAACATCAATGTATGGTTGCCTCTCATGCATCCCCTGCTGGGAACTGGCCTGCAACCCAGGCATGTGCCCTGACTGGGAATCGAACCTCGATACTCTGGTTCGCAGGCCCGAGCTCAATCCACTGAGCTATGCCAGCCATGGCTCACAGGGCATTTTTAATAATGATGATAAAAGGTGTTTAGAACTAATTGATAATAACCAGAAACATTTTAACAGTACTTTTTATAGAGATATAATCACTCCAATAGTATATAAATCATTTAATAAACTCATTTTCCCATGTTATTTTCAATTGTCATAATGTGCTATATTCTCCTGCATGGTTCACATGTTAATTTTACAAATACTTAAATTTATATATTTTGAGGGTCACAGCTTATTAAACAATATTTTATTCTTTCTATGTAACTTCAGTTTTGTTTACTTCTGTTATAGCCCATACCTAGTTGACAAAACCATTTTTACAAAAATCTTTTATAAATTTATACTTAATTCTTAAACTTGATATTGATTTTTTTTGCAAGTGTTTCTCTGGTTTTCAGATATACTTCACTCTACACATGAGAGTATTTCATTATATTTTTCAATTGTTCACTTTACAGGTGTCACTATTTCTATCACTTTTATGTTTTTCAACATTAATTTTAATTGAATAAATACTTTAAGGTTAGGTATTAGATGTTCTTGGTTGTTAGAATACTGAACTTAAACTGTCTTAAAACAGCAAGGGATAGAATGACTTTCAAGATTATTTAATCCAGTAACTCAAGGGTCTAGTTCCTCTCTGTTCCCACTCCTGTTCTTCATGGTGGCTTCCTTTTAGAGCTGGCAGTTCATCTGGGAATGATGGTCAGCAGCAGGGCAGCTACATGACGTCATTCAGGGCTACTGTAGATGAGAGGCTTTATGTCCTTTTACCATCAAAACTGGCCACGGGGACATCACTTAAGATAATTTAGGCCTGAGTTATGCATATATATGAACCAGTAACTGGAAAAGGAATTGAGTTGCCCTGCTGGTTGTGAACCAGTCAGGCTTAGTCCACAGATCTGGGAATCAAGCACTGCCATACAACTGAGCTGCTGCAGAGTCAGGGGAGAATCATTCCCTAAAGGAAATCTGGATGCTGGAAATGGGTGCTTAACCAATGAATATCTACATGGGGTTTTTGTCCCTCGATTTGCTTATATAGTATGTTCTTCTATTAGTAGTCAAACATTAGACATTGGGGGCTGACTGTCTAATTTTCTTATCTTATGTTCATCTCTTTGATGTGTTTTAGATTAAGAAATAGCTTTATTTTTAGTTTGTAAATCCCATGATTGAAGATAGTGTTTGATCTTAATAGATAGTTCTTTCTTAGAAGTGAGAGAAGGATCACAAAAACTGCAGCCAGCATTTCAAACATGATAACACTTTATTTATATCAAGCTTAATAGACCTTTTGAAACTATATTTTCAGTGAAATAATAATGTACCATTACCTGTACCTTCAGTATAAGAAAAGCATTTCAGCCCTGGCTGGTGTGGCTCAGTGGCTTGAGTGCCTGCCTGCAAACCAAAGGGTCACTGGTTAGATTCCCAGTTAGGAAACATACCTGGGTTGTGGACCAGATCCCCAGTAGGCGGCGCACGAGAGGCAACCACACATTGCTGTTTCCCTCCCTTCCTTTCTCTAAAAATAAATAAAATCTTAAAAAAAGAAAAAGAAAAGCATTTCAAATATTCCATTCTATATAAAAGAGCCATTTCCAATAAAGAACTATATATAACAGTTAATCAAAAGACTGTTAGAACCAGTGTCCTCTCATGTCTCAGTTCTAGCTTTTCCTTTAATCCACAATTATCTAGCTAATAATTTGATAAGATTTGTATTTGCAAAGGAATCTCTGTCATTTAGCACAGTATGGAATAGAATTTTTTTTAAAGATTTTATTCATTTATCTTTAGAGGGGAAGGGAAGGAGAGAGGGAGAGAAATATCAATGTGTGGTTGCCTCTCATGTGTCCCCTGCTGGGAACTGGCCTGCAACCCAAGCATGTGCCTGACTGGGAATTGAACTGTGATCCCTTAGTTTGCAGGCCCATGTTCAATCCACTGAGCTACATCAGCTAGGGCTGGAATAGAATATTGTTGGTAGTTATGAAGGAATTGGCAGGCGGAGGAATATAAAAAACAGCACACAGTCCTGAAACTTGATAGTGCTCAAATAAGAGACCCATTAAAGTTGACCAGAATTACATAGTACGAAATGTCAGTAGTGCTGAGGCTAAGGAACTGTGCTCTAGAGAGTAGCCCAGTACTCTTCTGAGAATTTCTGTGGTGATATGATGTTGGGGTATATTGGGTATGTATGTTAGTGGTATGAGGTATAATTGCCCTGTCTACATACTTTACTTTAGTTCTCCAGTTTTTAGCCCCTTATTTCATTTCTTCCTCCTGTAATACCTGATGCCTTCAAGTCCCGAGCCTTTCCTGGATTTTCTATGTCCTATTTATGCTCCATATTTTTGATTATAGACACTTAGGTTGTGTTCCCCCTACCTCTACTTTGTGTGAGTTATATTTTGTTGTTAGCTTTGTTGCATCTCAATTTTTATATGCATATATTTTTCCCTTTTTAGGTAGGGATTCTCAGTTCCAAAATGGAGATAATAGGAAAAATAATTATTAAACAAGAACAAAAAATACATTTGTTTTCACAATTTGTATTTATTGCTTATTGACATGTAGGCATCATCACAATGGTGATAAATGGTAAAGCTGGTGTGTAATTGCCACAATTGTGTTGGAGTAAATTGTATTGCAATTAGGAAAAAATACTAATTGTTAAATTCATATTAAACTTTGTTTTAGAGTCATGAATGGAAAACTAACTGTTCAAGAAGAACAGATTGTAGAATTGACTGAAAAAATTGGTGCCCTTGAGGAGGAGCTAAGTAGGGTAAGCATTCCAAACAATACTGAATATTATGTAAAAAGCAGATATTTAAAGAAAACTTCAAAATGTGAGAGACCTGGTAATTTTAAGATTTTTTCTTGCTGATCCTTATAGTAGAAATAAGTTGTATCATAATTTTATTATCAATTGTAATGAAGAAACTATTTTGACACTTAGCATTAATGCAGCATTACAGGAAATTAATTGAATTGTGCAATTTTATTGTTTGAGCTCCATAGTTAATGCTGAGACACTTTCTTTAACATGTTTATCAGATGAGGGAATGTGATGTTGGGAGAAAACAGATGTTAAATAATTAAGATGTAAAGACCTGATCCTTCTGTGCCACCCTCACATTGGCAGTGTTGGCTAAAGCCTGAAGAATTAATGCCACTACACTGTTATTTGTTTTTAATTAACTTATAGGAAACTAGGTGCTGTATAAAAGGTGCTGTATACCTGGTAACTTACAACTTGTAACAATTTTGCATGGAAATAATTTGTTTGTTTTTTTTATATTTTATATTATGAACGAGATAGGTGTCTCACCAACCAGTTCAGCATTTTTAATTCTTAAAAAGATGTTTAATATGTTATATTTAGGTTTCAGAATTGTTCATGGATAATAAAAATGAACTTGACCAGTGTAAATCTGACCTGCAAAATAAGACACAGGAACTTAAAACCACTCAAAAACATTTACAAGAAACTAAATTACAGCTTGTTAAAGAAGAGTATATCACGTCAGTTTTGGAAAGTACTGAGAAGAAACTTCATGATACTGCCAGCAAGGTTTGTCCTTTGTTTTGCTTATACTGCACTAGAGAAATTAGAGAATAGGTATAAGTAACTTACTTTGCTTTAGCATTAATTGTGAAATTCTATTTTTGCACCCTAAGTGACATTTTATGTAAATTTTCCTCTTTGGAGATGCTAACTTAAGAAACCCTTTCAGAAGCTTTGGAAATAGAACATGACTTTAATATACTTCGTGGACATTTAGAGTAATGATGTGTAATGCCTTTTCCTGTAGTCATGATTGAAATTAATCAGTCATCAAGAGTTTAGTACCTTCTGAGATAATGGAAGTTGTTGAAAGAACTTAATTTTTATTAGGTGTACTTTTAAGGAAATAGTAACACATAATAGGAAAAAATTGTAGGGGAGCCTAATTACTATAATTGGAAAAATCAGTTTTCCTTGCTTAGATGGCTAGGGAGGGGAAATAAATATTCCTGGATAAATTAGCTTGAGTTAAATTTATTTTTTCTGATACAGTATATAAAACTTGCAAGTTCTCATTAGGAGACAATCCTTATGTAACAGATATTTTTTCATAGACAGTTTTTGTCACAATCATCTGATTAACATTTATTTTTTTAAAATCATATACAGTTGCTTAACACAGTTGAAGAAACTACAAAAGATGTATCCGGTCTCCATACCAAGCTGGACCGTAAGAAGGCAGTTGATCAGCACAATGCAGAAGCTCAGGATATTTTTGGCAAAAATATGAACAGTCTTTTTAATCATATGAAAGAATTGATAAAGGATGGCAGTTCAAAACAAAAGGCCATGTTGGAAGTTCACAAGACCTTGTTTGGTAAGTTCAGGCACTATTAATTTTTCTAGTCTTTGTGTGTTTGGTGTGAGACTAATTTTGAAACTAATAGTTTAATATAGTAAAAAATTCAGGTGATAGTGTCATTAGTTCACTCCAGTGCACACAGTATCTGTTCAGACTAGGGTTTAATGCTTTCACTGCCTGTGAATTAAAACAAATCTTAGTTGTTGTTTCTTTCTGTTTTCTATAAAGTAACTTATGTTTATTAAACAATAACTAAGTGTATAAACTTGAGAAGTAAAAGTCCCTTTAACCTGACCCTGCCTCATTCTCCATAGGTGCTACTGTTAAATTTCTTGAGTTTCTTTCTAGAAATTTTCTGTACATAAATATTTTGCATCTTTTTTTAGAATGTGTATCTTGAATGTTTGCTGCATTGTGAGAATGTGTATATGTTTCATTATTTGTTATCTTCATTTAGGAAAAATACTCTCTCAGTATTAGCTTATTAATTATGAAGGAATTATCTTCTTTATAGAAAATTTGGGAAATGCAAAAATTGTTTTAAATCACCCAGAGGCTAGTCATTATAAGCCAACCACTATAAATTTTGTTTGATTTCTAGTTTCTCCTTTACCTACTATAATATTATTTATTAAATTTTTAAAATGATTCATTTTAGAATATTCTAATTCTTGGTTTACTGTATTTATTAGCTATACATCTGATAATACCTACAGATATGTCAAATGCTTATGGAATACTGTAGGACAAATATAATTTATATTTAAATTTTTCCTTGGTTATGTAGTGAGATAATTATGTTAAGCTCATGTGTTATAACAAATTTCCACAATAAAGATATAAATCTGCCAGCCTCTTTGAGGTGGTTGTAACTGTATTTAAATATGTTTATGTTAAAGCTTACATCTATTTTATTTTTTTGGTATAGGTAACCTGCTGTCTTCCAGTGTTTCTGCATTAGACATCATTACTACGATAGCACTTGGATCTCTCACATGTATTCCAGAAAATGTGTCTACACATGTTTCTCAGATTTCTAATATGATATTAAAAGAACAGTCAATAGCAGAAGAAAGTAAAACTGTACTTCAGACATTGATTGTTAGTAAATATTTTAAAGTATTTTTGAAGGGTTACGTTTGTTAAGTCTTCAAAAACAATGTTAACTGTTTCATCTTCACTTTATTAGACACAGTGATAAACATATCACTTGAAAGTAAGTTTAAAGGGAGGAGAGGTGGGGGACTCAGAAAAAAAAAAAAGTAGGTTTATATTTTAAAGACAAATCTCTCCATTGTTTTCTTGCCCAGAAAGATTAATGTCCAAATTCATACAACCAACCTTTGAAACTTTTTTCACTTATATCTTGCAACATTAAAAGTAGGAATTACGAGCCCTGGCTGGGTCACTCCACTGGTTAGAGCATTGTCCTGATGTGCCAAGTTTGTGGGTTCCATCTCCGGTCAGGGCACATACAAGAATCAGTAGGTGAATGCATAAACAAGTGGAAAAACAAAATCGATGTTCCTCCTTTTCTCCTTCCCTCCCTCCCTTCCTCCCTCCCTCCCTCCCTCCCTCCTTCCCTCCTTCCTTCCCTCTCTCTCAAGTTAATAAATGGGAGTTAAAAAAAAAACAAAAAGCCTTCTAATTACTAAAAACGATAGGTTTAGCTCCAGATGAAGTGAAGGGACCCATGACTTGCCAGTTTGCTCAGAAATAGGTAAATTATTTTTTCTGCAGGGGTCCTAGAATGGTCCTGCTGATGTTATATTGACCCAACCAGAAGGAGATATTAAGTGGTTAATTACTTAATTTTAAAACTACAGTAATGTAGAAAAATGTACAAGAAAAATAGTTTAGAATATAGAATACTAGAATCACATAGAATAATTTATCAGGCCAAATCTGTGCTCAAGTCCTTATGGGCCTTAACAATAAGGCTCTTTCACAGTTCTATAGAAGTCACTTGTCTTGCTATACTTAATATTACCTCCTCCATACTTTATTGCATTGTATACTCTTTATTTTGTAATTATGTGATTTGTCTAGGAAGTTCTTTGTCATATCACTTCTTTGTGCAGGCTTTTGGTTTCCCTTTTTGAGATTGACAGTGTTTGTTGAACATTTTCCAAGTAGATGCCATAAATGTTAGCTGATACTGCCTAGATTCAGTGCTTGTATGACATTATTTGATAAATTTCTTCAATCACCAAAATTTGACAAAGTTAAAAGATGCTGTCAATACTAACTTTTTGGAAATGGATTCATTAACTAGATGATAATCTGTATTTGTTGATGTCTTTCTACCAGGTTATAAGCATTGCTTGAGTCAAAGAGATGATTGCTGCTCTCACAGAATTATTTGAAATTAGAGTATTACTTATTTCCCAATGAATGATAGCCTTTTAAAAAAAGTATTTAATACTTTTTACAGAATATAAACTCTTGTAACAAATAGGCTTTAAAGAATAGAAAATGGATACTTAGAATTTGAATATGAACATTTTTAGTTAACTAAGTATTTAAGAGATTTAACCAGTCAGGTTTATGGACATGAAAATATTACTTTTAAAGACTTGTTTGTTTTTATTTTTAAAACCAGAATGTACTTAAGACTGACCTTCTAAGTTCACTGGAAACAATTTTATCCCCCACTGTGTTGGCTATACGGAAAATTGATAGTCAGCTCAAGCATATTTTCAAGACTTCACTGACAGTGGCTAATAAGGTAATAAATGTTATTATCTCAAAATCAAATTGTTTACGAAAAAACCTATTTGTTGTCACACCTGGAGATTTGTCTGCATGTAAAATTCATGGGTTCTGAGAAGGAATCTAGAGGAAGAAGGAGCTAGGATGCACTCTGCCATTGATGTAGTCAGCAGAATCATGGCTAAGAACAATGAGAGGGAATGATAAAGATAAGTGTTAAAGCTTACAAAGTAACATGCAATATGCTTTCATGGTGGGCGAGGAAGATACATGCATCTATACATGTATGCATATATGCCTAATTATACATAAAACATCTGGAATTGTTTAAAAATGGTACCAGTCTTTCAGGTGAGAGTAGGACTAGAGTTCTAGAGGCTAGAGAGAAGAAAGGACTTTGCATACTGTTTTCTACCTTTTCTATTTTGTATGTATTCAAAAAATGAAACTTAAATTTTTTTAATTAAAAAAATACGTTTTTTCCTTCAAAGATAGAAGATCAGAAAAAGGAAATGGATGGCTTTCTCAGTATGCTCTCTGACAATCTACATGAACTACAAGAAAATACGATTTCTTCCTTGGCTGAGTCACAGAAGCTATGTGAAAATTTAACTGAAGACCTGAAGACAATAAAGAAAATCCATTCACAGGTATCTTATCTAGGTGATTTAGAGAGTGTAAAAAGAAAGTTTTTTTATGATCTTTAGCTTGACAATCCTTTTTACACAATCTGAATGTTATATAACTAATTTAGAAACCCGAAAATACCAAAGCCACTATTGCTTTTAACAGTAATTAATGTAAAATAATTGAGAATGCTTTTCTCGATCAGTTACTATTTGAGGATTTGCTACACTTAGAACCGTACACTAAAGCACAATCAGACAAACAGAGCAGTCTTTTCCTCATACTACAATGAACAGTGATGCTGGAGAAACATACCTTTGGGAATACAATTAGAAGAAAATGGTTATAGCATTTTAAATGAACACGTATCTGCACTGTAACTAAAAAACTTTTTTCCTAGGGTAATATGGATAGTTACTGTTATTAACTCTACCCTGCTTTCCTCTTACCGTATATCTGACCTATGTCAGACATTTAAATTGTAGTAAATGAATATAGTTCTCAGACTGTATTGATTTGATTATAAATGTAATTCATGACTTATCTTCCTCCATGTAAACTACTTCTTAGTATATGAGCCTTTAAACCAAAACCAAACCTTCAAACCAAGAAAGTCATAATCTATAAATATCAGCCATATGGAAAACAACTGGTATTTTTAAGGCCTTAGTGATGAATGTCTAAAGTTTTTATTAAGTGAGGCTATTATACATGGCAGAACTGTTTGGTCAACAAAACTGTTGACATAATTTAGTGGGTAGTAAAGGATTCTTTGGAGGTGGGGAGTGAGGGAGAGAGAAAATATCCATGTCAACAAAAATGAAAAGAACAACATATCCAAGATTTTTAGGTAAGAAATAAAGCAACTTTAAAAAAAGATTAATCATTTTCCTAATTGATACTAATGAAACTTTTCAGAGAAAGGATTGACATCAGAAATTAGTAAAAATAATGAACCTTTCTTGAGCAATTTATGTTTAATTTCTCCTACCAATAAGGAGAAAATATAAGTTTTATTACTAGCCCAGTTTTCTAATGAGGAAACAGAGGCCTTGCAAGAATCTAGCAGTATTCATATCATCTTACAGGGTGTTAGTGATTACATTGCCTGAAAGGCATTTATTTTTGAGTGGCTCTTCTATATATTTTCTTTTTTTTAAAGATTTATTTATTTATTTTTTAGAGAGGGGAAGGGAGGGAGAAAGGGAGAGACACATCAATGTGTGGTTGCCTCTCTTGTGCCCCCTACGGGGGACCTGCCCTGCAACCCAGGCATGTGCCCTGACTGGGAATCGAGCCAGAGATCCTTTGGTTTGTAGGCCGGCACTCAACCACTGAGCCACCAGTCAGGTCTGTATATTTTCTTGCACTTTGAAATTGTAGCAATGACTCATACCTCTGCATAGGGTTATTTACCTTAAACCTGCCTAGAACTTTTTTAGGTATATATTCTAAGATAGATAAACTTTTTATAAATTAGCTGTTTTGAATGTTTAAAATGGGTATTGAAATGTTTAAAAACAAAATACCTGTGATCTAAAAAGTATTTTAGTGTGGATGTTTGAATTCTCTGGCTTTAAGGAAGCAAGTTTACTAAGTGAGAATTTCTTCAACTTTGTAGAACTTGAAGTTAGCACTAACAAAATAATTATGTGAAACTCTGAACACCTATTTACATGTAGGTTTTTCTAATAATACCTGCATTTCCTTCTACTCTGAGACTAGTAAAAATATTGACAGACTTTGTTAGTTATATTTTATCTGCTGATGTGTTATTCAGAGACGTTGGTCAACTAATGGACGGAACCGTGATAAGAATACTTGGTAACTTTTCAGGTCTTCCTTGGTCTTTAGTGTAGCTTCTTCATTTTGCAGTATAAATCTCTTAACATGTTGTATGCCTATAAGAGCTTGTTTTTAAGGATACCAAGTTATGAGCAAAGGTAAAACTCTATATTGACATTTTAGATATTACAATGTAATATCACATTGATATTACAGAGCCAACTAGGCTCTGTAAAATGTGTCAGCTCCTGTAACAGTTTTGGACTGCTTGACCCATGAGTTTACCAGCATCACCTTTTCCTTCTAAGCAACTACGTATTTGTTAAAGTGGTTCTCAAACATAAAGTGTCATTTTAATATATTTGGTTAGTTAAGAGGTACACTAAAAATCAGTGTTAAAATACCAAGTTGCTCATTATTTATTCTGTTAAAAAATCCCTATAATATTATAGGTTGATATCCTTTGAATATCAACCTCCACTGCTTCCCTCTATGGGAGAAAGGTAGTGTTAAAGAACTCTTTTTTTAAAAAAATTGTTTGTTTGTTTGTTTATTTTAATTAAATTTAACTCTTGTAAGGAAATTGTATAATTCTCACCTATGGGAAAGTACTTGATGTCAGTATAGGAAAAAAGTTCAAGTGTCATAATTTCAATCTCTTCTTCTCCCCACACCTTTCTTACAGGAACTTCACCAGTTAATCAATCTTTGGGGAGAGAGGTTCTGTGCTTTGGAGGAAAAGTGTGAAAACATCCAGAAACCACTTAATAATATCCAAGAAAATACAGAGCAGTAAGCTGTTTTAAAATTCAATTTAACTTTTCTCTGCTTCAGAAATAATTCTGAAATTATTTCAGTATCAAAAGCTTCAAATAATACAAAAACAACCAACCCAGCTTCTCGTTTAACATTTTATGTTTGTTGTATCATTCTCATTCCTCTCACTTCCCCTCTCTAATATTATATATTTATATCTTTTATGAACTAGCTGAGAATAAGTTACAGGTGTTATGCAAACTTTTTCCTAAGTATTTCAATGTGTATTTCCTAAAAACAAGGATACTCTTATATAGCCTTTATATTATTAGATCAGAAATTAATATTGATAACTATTAACCTAATATACACACCTAATTCAAATTTTGTCAGTTATCTCACTAATGTTTATAGGAAAAGAAAAAGATATTCCTTCTGTTACAGGATTCAGTCCAGGATCATGCATTGCGTTTGTCATATCTCTTGAGTCTCCTTTAATCTGGAGCAGTTCCTTAGTCTTTTGTCTTTCATGACCTTTACTTTTTCAAGAGTATTGAATATTTATGTACTTCATTTGAGGATGGCCATCAGTTGGAATTATCAAAAATACCACAGAAGTGGTATGTTCTTTTTTTAATTATATTTTACTTATGCTATTATAGTTGTTCCAATTTCCCCCCTTTGTGTCCTCCTCCACTCAGTTCCACTCCCCCCATGCACACCCTCAGGCAATCCCCACACTGTTGTTCATGTCCACAGGACATGCATATATGTTCTTTGGCTACTCTATTCCCTATGCATTTCCTTCACATCCCCATGACTATTCTGTAACTACCAATTTGTGCTTCTTAATCCCTTCATCCTTTTCATCCATGCCTCCAACCCCACTTTGAGCTGGCAATCATCAAAATGTTCTCTGTATCTATGATTCTATTTCTGTTCTGCTTATTTATTTTGGTTTTTTAAAAAAATTTTTAGATCCAATTGTTTACAGATAAGTATTGCCATTTTATTGTTCATACTTTTAATCTTCTTAAAAAGAACCTTTAACATTTCATATAATACTGGTTTGGTGATGAATACTGGTGGTGATGAACTCCTTTACCTTTTCTTCTCCAATTCTAAACAATATCTTTGCTGGGTAGAGTAATCTCAGTTGTAGGTCCTTGCTTTTCATTACTTTGAATATTTCTTGTCAATCCCAAGTTTCTTTTGAGAAATAAGTTCATAGTCTTTTTTTTTTTTTTTTAAAGATTTTATTTATTTATTTTTAGACAGCGGGGAAGGGATGGAGAAAGAGAGGGAGAGAAACATCAGTGTGTGGTTGCCTCTTGTAGTCCCTGCACCCAGGAACCTGGCCTACAACCCAGGCATGTGCCCTGACTAGGAATTGAACCAGCGAACATCTGCTTTGCAGTCCTGTGCTCAATCCACTGAGCCACACCAGCCAGGGGCAAGTTAATAGTCTTGTGGAAGCTCTCTTGTAGGTAACTGACTGCTTTTCTCTCGCTGCTTTAAAGATTCTTTGTATTTAACCTTTGACATTTTAACTGATATGTCTTGGTGTAGTCATCTTTGGGTTCATCTTGATTTGGGCTCTCTGTGCTTCCTGAATTTGTATGCCTATTTCCTCCATCAAGTTAAGGAAATTTTCAGTCATTTTTCAAATAGGTTTACAATTTCTTGCTCTCTCTCTCTTCTTCCAGCACCCCAATGAGGTGAATGTTGGTATTCTTGAAGTTGTCCCAGAGGCTCTTTACATGATCTTCATTTTTTTTAATTCTTTTTTCTTTTTGCTGTTCTGATTGGGGTTTTTTCTTTCTTATATTCCAGTTTGCTGATGTGATTCTCAACTTCATCCACTCTACTGTTAATTCCCTGTAAATTGTTCTTTATTTAAGTTACTGTATCTTTTGTTTCTGACTGGATCTTTTTTATGCTGTTGAAATTCTCACTGAGTTTCTTGAGCATCCTTATAATCAGTGTTTTGAATTCTGCATCTAGTAGATTACTGGTCTTCATGTTGTTTACCTCTTTTTCTGGAGTTTTGATCTATTTGGGGCCTTTCATTTGGGCCTTGTTTCTTTGTCTCCTCATTTTGGCAGCCTCCATGTGCTTGTTTCTGTGGTAGAGCAGCTATGCCTGTCAGGCTTGGTAGAGTGGCCTAATGTAGCAGGTGTCTTGTAGGGTCCAGTGGCACAGCCTCCCCTATTACCCAAGCTGGGAACTCAAGGTACACCCATGATGTGGAATGTGTACACCCTCCTGTTGTAGTTGAGCCTTGATTGCTGTCGGCATGTCCAAGGTCAACCACTGACTGTGTTCTGTCTGGGTTCACACAGCATAAGCAACAAAGCAATCTGCACATGACTGCTACTTGTGCTGGGCTCAAAGGTGCCCAGGCAAGGCCAAGCTGTGAACCAAGGCCATCTGCTGCTAGTGCTGGGCCTGGGGCTACTTAGAGTATGGGGCTCACTGAAGCCAGTTGCTGCTTGTTCTAGAGTATTTAGGAAAATCTGGAACATGGGCCAAGACAGGCCATTCATTTGGAAAAGCCACTGGAGATAAACTTTGGTGGGCCCAAAAGTTGGTTGGGCCAGGGCAACAGGGATTCACCAGGGTGGGGCAAACAGTGTTAGCCAGGTTAAAGGAGTCTCAGATATGGAGCCTGCCTGTTGGCTCTGTGGCTCTGTGGTAGAAGGGCTCAGAAAAGGAACAGTGGCCTCTGCCAGCACTTATATCTGGGCAAAAAGCATTCCCCCAGCTCTTGCCATGATGCCAAAAAGTACAGTTTCTCCCTGTATGCCTCTGGTACCTTTTAAGCTGCTGCCCTGGTGCTGGAGCTCAGAGGGAGTGATTCAAGTAATTCTGTGTGCAGGCCCTTTAAGAAGAAGAGGGAAGAAGAAAGTCCAGCAGTTTCTGTCTTCCACAGCCTCAACTCTCACTGGTTTTTACAAGCAGAAGTTATGGAGACTTACCTTCCTAGCACTGTAATCCTGGGCTAGGGGTCCTGGTGTGGGGCTGGGACCCCTCAATCCTGAAATATCCCTCCGAATTTTTATCTGACCCATGTGGGTGTGGGACCAGCTTGTTCCATGTTTCTTCTCCTCCTACCAGTCTCAGTGTGGTTTCTTCTTTAATTCTATAGTGTAGGAATTCCATTCCACTTAATTTCTGACAGTTCTGAATGACTGTTATTCTATAGTTTAGTTGTAATTTTGATGTCACAAAAGTGATTTGTTTTTAATGCATCTCAGATATCACAAGGTAGATGATGCCTATTTGTCTCATAATTGGTATGTTTCATTTAATTCTGATAACTTATTACAGTGTTGTCCTCCAGATTTCTCCAGAGTAAAGTTACTCTTTTCATTTGCAATTCTTAAAGAATTTATGGGGATATTCTTTGAAACTATGTAACTATCCATATCCTTTTAGTATCTATTGATAACATGTCTGAAACAACTATAAAGATAGTATCTGTCCAGTGATCTTTTCTAATTTCATCATTCCTTCTACTTTTGTTAGTTGGCATTATGCTAAGAGGAAGTTTTTCCCTTTCCCTCCCATTTATTTTTATTAATTTCTTTATGTTAGCATATACTCATGGAATCTTTTGTTCTCTGGGTTATTTATTTTGATACTCAAATTCCCATAGTTTTCACTAGTGAGAGCCTCTTCAAGTTGACTCCTATGTCCTTTTAATATGACCTATCCTTTTTTAGCATTTTCTTACTTTCTGATATAGGAAGATGTTTCAGGCTCATCTTATACTTTCTCAACACCAGCTCTAGAATTTTAATAATAGAAACCTGATCTGGGCAATAGGTATTGTTATTGCTACTGGGGTGTCATTTCTTTTAGATATCCTGGGTGAATACTGCTAGAAGTATGTGTGGGTATGTGCACATACATGTGCATGTAAGTACTTTATATGTGTGCTCCCTTTCACACAGTGAGAAACCCAGATCTCATTCACAGTATCTTTACTTATTTGCTCTGTCTCACAATATATAGTAAGTAATTTGACTGTGTCTAACCCATGGCAGTAAAGGAATATATTACTATCTAGAGCAGGGTTTGGCTGGTGGCCTGGATGCCTGTGATTGAGATTAATTTTATTGGACACAGATATTTCCATTTGTTTACATGTTGACTTTGGTTATGTTTGGCTGTCTTTTTGCTGCAAAAGTGCACAAAAGACTATATAGTCTTTAAGCCTAACATATTTTTATCTGGACTTTTGAGAAGTTTGCTGATTCCTTCATTAGAATATAATGTTGCTTTATAGCCTCCTTGCTTGCCAGTTTCACATACTTACATATGTTACAGTCAGACTTAGGTTTTCTTCTAGAAATTTTAAATTTTAATTTTTTTAATTTTCTATTTAATTTTTAAAAAATTTATTGGGGCAACATTGGTTAATAAAATTACTTAGGTTTCACATGTACAATTCTCTTCTTTTTTAAGTATACAATTCTGTAAGTTCAAGTGTACAACTCTATAATATAATCATCATCTGTATATTGCATTGCACGTTTACTACCTAAAGTCACTCTTTATCCATCCTTTTGTAAGATTTATTAATTCATTTTATTGTTATAAGGTTTTCCTTTATTTGTAGACATATACAATCTTAATTAGTAGAAATAGGAAAAGAGGTGAAAGGCTTGTATATTAAAAATTAAAACCATTGCTAAACAAAATGAGTAAATAAATGAAAAATCATCCCATATACAAGTATGGGAAGATTTAACATTGATAAGATGGTAGTACTTCCTGATACAATGTAAAGATTCATTGCAACCCCCATCAAAATTCCAAAGGCCTTTTTGCATTAATGGAATAGACCATCCTCCAAATTTGTACAGAACCACAGTGGAAGGACTCAACTTCCCAACTTGACAACTTGCTATAAGGCTGCCATAATCAAAACAGTAAACTTCTGGCAAAAAAAGAAAGAAAGGAAACAAGCAGTGAAATAGAATTGTAATCTAGATATAAACCAAAACTCCTATCACCAATTTATTTTCAACAAGGGTGTCGAGATTATGTAATCCATAAGGAGAGTCTTTTCAGCAAATGAACCTGGAACACCTGGATACCCATGTGAAAGTAGATAAGTTGTACCCCTGCTTCAGTCCATATGCAAAATATAACTCAAAATAGATGAAGACTTAAATATGAGAGCTAAACCTATAAAACTTTTAGAAGAAACCATGGGGTAAATCTTCACAAATTCAGGCTTGGCAATAGATACTTCAATTTGACACCAATGAAACAAGAAAAAGTATATAAATCAGACTTCATTAAAATAAAAATGTGCATCAAAGGACATAGTCAAGAATGTGAAATGACATCCTAAAGAATGGGAGGAAATATTGTATTTACCTTTCACATATATAAAGGTTTAATGTCCAAAATATATTATAAATATGGGTTGCTTCACAAATTTGAATTTGTGTGTCATCCTTACTCGGGCTATGGTGATCTCTGTATTGTTTCAGTGTTAGTAAATGTGCTGCCAAAGCAAGCACCCCACGTAAGATTTAAGTGTATGATTCATTTTAAATTTTTATATAAGGTGTGAGGTTTGTCAAGTTTCAATTTTTTGCCTGTGGATATTCTAAACTCATGAGGAAAGGGATTTTCTGTTGCATTTACCCCTATTTCTGTTCATAAAATTGTTTGTGCCTGAAGTTTCAAGCTTCTTTCAGTTTGGAAACTTTCTTTAGTCTTTAAGGTCTGCTGGTCAGAAATTCTGTTTTTGCTGAGAATGCCTTGATTTTCCCATTCATACTGAAAGATTCTTTCACTGGATATAGAATTCAGGGTTTTTAGCATCTAGAGTACATTGTTTCATTTCACTTTGGCTTCCATGAGAGATCTTCTTTCATTCAAGTAATGTTTACCTACAAAGAATTTCTCTAGCTGTTTTTAAGATTTTTTCTTTGTCTTTTGTTTTTAGGTATTTTGTTATATTGTGTCTTATATACAGGGTCTGGCAGAAGTAAGGCCTGCTTGGGTGTGGTTGGTAGGGTAATAATATGGGTGTAATAATTTATAGTTTTAATTTGAACATTTCACCTAAAATGTCACATGGTGTGCTTGAGTGTGATATTGTTATATTACAGAATTATGTGCTTATGATTTTGTGCTAAAGGATTTTGTAATAAAAAAGGAGCATTATTTGTGCCAGACCCTATGTTTCTTTGAGTCTATCCTATTGAAGTTTGCTCAGTTTCTTGAATCTGTAGACTTAATGCTTTTCACCAAACTTGTAAACTTTTGTCTATTATTTCTTTGAACATTTTTCAGCCCTATACTCTTTGTCCTCTACTTCTAGGACTTTGATGACACAAATGTTAGATCTTTCATTATGGTCATAGGTCTCTGAGGCTATAGATGTGTAGTTTATTTTCTCTTTGTTGTTGTTCACATATTCTGCATATGATCTGTGTTCATGTTCACTGATTCTTCCTCTGTCACCACTGACTTGATGTTGAATCCATTCATAAAATGTTTTTTTGGGGCAGGGATGATAATTTTCATTTGCTTCTCTTTCTTTAATCTCTTCTATTTATCTCTTCTATTTCTTTGCTAAAATTTTTCCTCAGAAGTATAATAATTGCTCATTGAAACATTTTTATAATGGCTGCTTTAAAATCCTTGCCAATAATTCCAATAGCTGAATTATCTCAATGCTGGCTGGCACTTGTTATCTTTTTTCATTCAAGTTGTGATTTTCTGGAGTGGGTTTTTTTTTTTAAGATTTTATTTATTTATTTTTAGAGGGGAAAAGAAGGAGAGAGGGAGAGAAACATCAATGTATGGTTGCCTCTCGTGTGTCCCCTGCCAGGCTTGCAACCCAGGCATGTGCCCCAACTGGGAATCAAACATCGATACTCTGGTTCTCAGGCCTGCACTCAGTCCACTGAGCTTCACCAGCCAGGGTTTGGAGTGGTTTTTTTTTTTTTTTTAAGATTTTATTTATTTTATTTTAGAGAGGGGGAAGGAAGGGAGAAAGAGAGGAAGAGAAATATCAATCTATTGCCTCTTGCATGTATCCAACTGGGGACTGGCCTGCCACCCAGGCATGTGCCCTGAATGGGAATCAAACCAGTGACCTCTTGGTTTCCAGGCCAGCGCTCAACCCCAAGCCACACTAGCCAGGGCTCCAGAGTGGGTTGTGATTTTATCTTGATCATTTTGGTTATTATTTTAGAAAATTAAGGATCTTGTCTGAATCTGGATAATGTCTTTTTAGCAGGCATTCATTCTGTTTAAGTCTAGTATGCAGGTATTGCTGGCCTACTTTTTGGATTGTGGTTCCAATGACTATTTAATTTTATGAGCTTTTCCAGTTGTGACTACCTGTATAAGAATAATATGTATTCTGCTGTTGATGGATGAGATGTTCTAGACTAAGAGAAAAATATGGAAATATCCAACAATAATTGTGGATTTGTCTGTTTCTCTTATCAATTCTCTTAGTTTCTGCCTCATGTGATGTTTTATTGTTGGATGTATACACATTTAGGGTTGATATGTCCTTGAGAATTGATCCCTTTATCATTATGTAATGTATTTTTTATACCTGATAATCTTCCTTGTTCTGAAGTCTACTTTGTCTGAAATTAGTATTTCAGCTCTGCAGAATAATTTATCTTATTTTTTTACTTTGGCCTAAGTATTTATATTTAAAGTGGATTTCTTATAGATAACATAATTGGGTCTTGCTTTTTTAATTAAATTTCACAATGTGACTTTTAACTGGTGTGTTTAGACAGTTCTCATTAAAGTATTGATAAGTTGGGTTAAAATCTACCATTTTGCTATTTTCTCTTTGTTGCATTGTTTGGTTTGTTTCCATTTTCCCATTCCTAGTTTAAGTTGAGCATTCTTGTTTTCATTTTATCTTTCCATCAACTTACCAGTTACTCTTTGTAAATTACTTTTTAAGTGTTTTTTTAGGGTTAATAATAAACATTTTTAATTAAATTTATTGGGGTAATATTAGTTTGCAAAACCATCTAGGTTTCAAGTGTACAACCCAATAAAACATCTGTACATTGCATCATGGGCCCACTGCCCCAAACAAAGTCTTCCTGTCCTCATTTTCCCCAACTTTGCCCACCTCCACCTAGCCGGCATCTCCTTTCTCTCTGGCTGTTACCACACTGTTGTCTGTGTCTGTGTGTTACATATATGTATTTTTTGGCTAATCCCTTCACCTTATTTTATCCAGTCTTCCAACCCCCATCCGCTGACAGCTGTCAGTCTTTCATGTATCCATCATGCCTCTGTTTCTATTTTGTCGGTTTATTTTGTTCACTAAATTCCACATGTAAGTGATAGCATATGTTTTTTTTTTCTGACTGACATTTCATTTAGCATAATAATCTTAAATTCCATCCATGCTGTCACAAAAGATAAGATGTCCTTCTTTCTTATGCCCTCGTAGTATTCTGTTGTGTAAATGTAGTATAGCTTTTTTATCTAATTATCTGGGCTGTTTCAGATCTTGGCTATTGTAAAAAACACTGCAGTGAATATAGGGGGGTGTGTGTGTGTGTTGTATTAGGGTTTCAGGTTTCAAAGGATATATTCCCAGAAGTCGAATTGCTAGGTGAAAAATATAATAAACAAGCCCTGGCTGGTGTAGCTCAGTGGATTGAGTGTGGGCCTGTGAACCAGACAATCGCGGTTCGATTCCCAGTCAGGGCACATACTGGGGTTGCAGGCCAGTTCCCAGCAGAGGGCACACGAAAGGCAACCATACATTGATGTTTCTCTCCCTTTCCTTCCCTTCCCCTCTAAAGATAAATAAATAAAATATTAAAAATATATATATAATATATAAAATAAACATTTTGAAATAATTTTAATCCACCTTCAAATAATTTGCTGTTTCATGCGTAATGCAAGGACCTTATAACAGTATATTTCCAATTCCTCTACATTTTTTATGCCTTATTTTTATATATTTTATTTTTACGTGGTCTGTATACACCCAAGACATTATTACTCTGATTGCTTTTCTATTTTCTTTTTTAATGACTACTAGGAATACTTATTTTTAAAATGTTACTAAATGGTGACATTATTAATAAGTCACCATATTCAGTATTATTTATTGGTGATATTGGTTAATAAGATTATATAAATTTCAAGTGTACAATTCAAAAATTGTATTTTTTGCATCTGTCTTTTGCATCATGTGCTTAGTACCCAAGTGAAGACTCCTGTCACCATATATTTGACCCCTTTATCTTCTTCAACCTCTCCCCATCCCCCCTGCCCTCTCTCTGGTAACCACCATACTATTGTCTTTGTGAGGGTTTTTGTTTGTTTTTGTTCATTTGTTGCTTTCTATAAGTTTTTAAACTGCACCATGTGTGGTTCCAGTTATATTTCTGTTGAACAGTGTTGCTGTGGCATTGGGCCTATCACCTGTTTTGCTACCTAACTCATTTGTTTTCCAGTCCTGTTGTTGCTACTGTTCATTATATCATGTTCTGTTTTGAAATTTTCCTTCTGGGATCTAAATCTTGACAGTGTTTTTCTACTTTGTTTTCCTAGCATCTAGACTGAAGGATATGGGACTTATTCCATAGCTTTGAAGGGATAAGAATGAAATGGGAAAGGATTTATGGTATACTTTCTTTAATGTTTTGGCAGGTTATTTTTCCTATCTTCCTGCCATTGGCTACATGTAAAAGAACAAATCAGGAGTAGGGCCCAGGAATCTAGCTGATAGTTACATACATATACTGAATTTTGAGACCCACTGCCTTTGCCATTTATTGTCATAGTTTTTATAGTCACTTATGAATAAATTTTATCTTCCTACTAGATTGCGATTCCTTAAGGGGACAGGTTTGTGTTAATAGTCTTCAAATTTACCACTTAAATTTTTTTCTCTGTCATTTCTACCTCATCTGGGGTTGAACTTTTGTTTTAACACATTTTCTTACTCACATGGTGTGCCACCTAGTGGTACTAGAGGGGAACTTTCATTCCCCAAAGTTTAATTCCATGGCGGTGTATGATGACTTTGAATGCTATTGTAGGAAGCTTTATTGAGAGAAGGAAGTCACCAATGGGTTTTAAATGTATGTTCTGACAAACATTAGTTGTATATCAGGGTTTATGTTTTTGTGTCCTGTGTGTGCTTTATGTACAGTTTGTTACATACCAATATCATACTTTTAATTAGAAGACTTTGTAGTTGACTTTTGTTTTCTAAGATCTGTAATTTTTATAACTTACGTTATAAGCAAGGCAAAACTACTTAAGAACAGAATGACTTGGCTGGACAGTTTAAGGACTAGACTGAAGGCTGTAGATGCCCTTAAATAACATAATATAGTAGGGGGAATAAAACAGATAGACAGGTTTCATTTTAATAACTGTGTAGTTAATACTCTAAGAAGAAGTGAAGCATAGTATCTGGAGGAGGACTGAGAAAGGTTTTATGAGAAAAGATATTTCCAAAGGTCATCTAATGGCATATATGATATCAGTCTGCTGTGAAAAGACACTGGCCAAAGCATTTCTCCTCAGTGTTGAAGACTAATTAAGAGGAACATGGACTCTGGAGCCAGGCTGCCTGGGTTTGATCTGTGTAATCTTGGGCAAGTTATATATCTTTTGAGTCTTAGTTTTCCATTTTAACAGTGTTATTCTGTTTTCCTATAGGAAGTCTAAGGATATAATCAGCAAAACAACTTCTCATAGTACGAAATTCTGTGCTGATTGTGATGACCTATCACAGGAACTCAGACATTTTAACCAAGAAGGTACACAGTTGGTTGAAGAGTGTGCAAAACACTGTGATAAACTCAATAGCAACTTTGAAATAACATCCCAAGAGACTGAACAGAAATGTGAAGCTCTGAACACAAGCGTACTTTGTTTTTCTGAACAGTGGCTATCTTGCTTAAATAAAAGGGAAGAGGAAATGCAGACCTTATTGGAGGTAATAACTTTGTAACTAAAACCTTACTTTGGGGTGAATAGTGATAATAAAAAAATTAAGTATTCTTGGCTAAGAATTGGTTTCAAAACAAATGACATTTAAAAATATAATGAATGAATTAAATTTTGAAGTGTATTATAGTTGGTATGCTTATCCATGATCTTGTTTCATGTGTATGTCTCCTAGATCTCAAAATTATTTAACGTTTGTCTGATCTGTGTCTGTTCTTGGTTATTGACTTGTTAGTTCCTTAAGTTAAAGGTACTCTGCCTTTTGGTACATAATCTTCCACTTACATGGTTTTCACTTTTCTCTCTCTTTTTTTTTTTTTTTAGATTTATTTATTTTTAGACAACGGGGAAGGGAGGGTGAAAGGAAGAGAAACACCAATGTTTGGTTGCCTCTCATGCACCCCTACTGGGAACCTGGCCCGCAACTCAGGCATGTGCCCTGACTGGAAATTGAATCAGCGACCCTTTGGTTCTCAGGCCGGTGCTCAATCCACTAAGCCACACCAGCTAGGGTGCTTTTTACTTTTTTTTAGTAGATTCAAATTTGTTGTTGCTTTTAAGTATTTAGGGTGTTGTTCTGGTTGCTCAAAGAATAGTCGATAGGTTTGCGAGTTTGCTTGAATTTAACACTTGCATGAACTCTTTTTGGCTTTGTTTTTCTTTCTGTGCAATAACAAGATTTCACTAATATTCTTAGGAATTAGGTAAAAAGAACTTCAGTATTTTATACTATATAAGCTATTTCCACTAAAAGGAACCAGGGTAAAATGGAAAAAATAGCAGATTTTAGGTTTGCAGTAGGAAATGTACCAGATGAGCCTAGACATCTTGTCATACCAAACAATAAGGAATCTATTCTATCTTAATTAAGCAGAATAATGAATGAAGGAAAATGTTTGGGTGACCACACCAAAACTAATTAATCTTTTAAAAAATTTTTTATTTATTGATTTTAGGAGAGAAAGACAGAGAGAAACATTTGATTTGTTGTTCCACTTACATTCATTAGTTTTTTAAATATATTTTATTAATTATGCCATTACAGTTCTATTACCCCCTTCATTCCCCTCCACCCTGCACACCCCCTCCCCACCCCCCTTTAGTTTATGACCATGTGTCTCAAGTTCTTTAGATTCTATATTTCCCATGCTATTCTTACCCTCCCCCTATCTATTTTCTACCTACCATCTATGCTACTTATTTTCTGTACCTTCTCCCCCCTTCTCCTTCTCCCACTCCCCTGTTGCTAACCCTCCTAGAGATCTTCATTTCTATGGTTCTGCTCCTGATCTAGCTGTCCTCTTAGTTTGCTTTTGTTTTAGGTGTGGTTCTTAATAACTGTGAGTTTGCTGTCCTTTCACTGTTCATCCTTTTTATCTTCTTTTTCTTAGGTAAGTCCCTTTAACACTTCATATAATAAGGGCTTGGTGATGATGAACTCTTTGAATTTGATCTTATCTGAGAAGCACTTTATCTGCCCTTCCATTCTAAATGAAAGCTTTGCTGGATAGATCTATCTTGGTTGTAGGTCTTTGGTTTTCATAACTTGGAATACTTCTTTCCAGCCCCTTCTTGCCTGTAAGGTTTCTTTTGAGAAATCTGCTGACAGTCTGATGGGAAGTCCTTTGTAGGTGACTGTCCCCTTAGCTCTTGCTGCTTCTAGAATTTTCTCCTTCATTTTAATCTTGGCTAATGTAATTCTGATTTGCCTTGGTGTGTTCCTTCTTGGGTCCACCTTCTTTGGGACTCTCTGGGCTTCCTGGACTTCCTGGAAGTCTATTTCCTTTGCCTGATGGGGTAAGTTCTCCTTTATTATTTGTTCAAATAAGTTTTCCACTCGTGCGGCTGTTCCTCTTCCCCTTCTGGTACCCCTATAATTCAAATGTTGGGACGTTTAAAGATGTCCTGGAGGTTCCTAAGCCTCTCCTCCTTTTTTTGAATTCTTGTTTCTTCATCCTTTTCTGTTTGGTCATTTTTTTCTTCCTTCTGGTCCACTCCTTTCATTTAAGTCCTAGTTTCCTTTCCATCACTATTGGTTTCCTGTGTATTTCCCTTCATTTCAATTAGTTTAGCTTCCATATGTTCCTCTAATTTGTGACTAAAATGAACCAGTTCTGTGAGCATCCTGATCACCAGTGTTTTGTACTGTGCATCTGAAAGTTTGGCTGTTTCTTCATCGCTTAGATTTATTGGCTCTGGGGCTCTGAGTTGTTCTTGAGCCATGTTTTGATCTGTTCGTGCCTGTTATGTATGAGGAGCAGAGCCTTAGATGCTCACCAGGGCGGAGCCACCCAGGTTGGTGATTTGTGACGCTGTATGTGAGGGCGGGGTCAGAGAGGGACAATGGTGGTTCTCTCCACCGCTTTGCGCTGCTGGGGCCCGCGTGGTCCGTCTCACCACCGCTAGCTCCTTCACCGGTTTATCTGCACATGAATGTGTGACCATAGTCCGCCCTCAGTGGGTCCGCCACCTTGCGCCCTCAGTGTGTCTGCCTGCTTCTCCACACCTGGGATCTGCCCATGGCTGCTGGCGCACCTGGGTAACCCGCCCAGGTCGGTCCGGTGGATCTTTCCTGCCTTACCTCACTCTGCTGCTGGCTCTGCCCCTCTTAGCAGTTTGGCTGAAGGGTTCGTTGTTGTAAGACTTCCGTGTAGTTCAATTTTCTGTGGTTTGGCTTTATTTTTGTTGCTAAAACTTTGTTGTTTTTAAACTTGGTTGTGTGAGAAGGTGCAGTGCTTCCACCTATGCCTCCATCTTGGCAGAAGTCCATTAGTTGTTTTTTATATGTGCTCTGATGGGGGATGAAATTTGCAACCTTTGTGTATCAGAGTGATGCTGTAAACAACTGAGCTACCTGGCCAGAGCCACTGCTTAATCTTACCATAAAAGAAACAATCAAGCATTATGTGCTTTCAGTACCAGCTATGAAATACTCTTGGCAAAAAATTACGCCTACTGCAGCCTTGCCTGCCCTGCTCCACAATCTACCGCCTTACTAGGTCGGCCAGCCACTGCTTTACCTGCCCTGGTCCTCCAGCCACTACCTTGCTGAGAGTCTTCTCCACCTGGCTACCTGTCTCCACCCCTCCTACCAGTCTAGGTGACTGTGTCTTTTTAACTCCTTGGTTGTTGGACTTTCATACAGTTTGATTTTTTATCAATTCTGGTTATTTTTAAATTGTTGCTATCTTTCTTTTGGTTGTGCGAGGAGGTACAGTGCATCTACCTATGCCTCCATCTTGGCCAGAAGCCAAAACTATGGTCTGCCTCATTCTTTTTTATAGTTACCTGTAATTTAGATCAAGCTTTTGGGTCTAACTAGTTTGTAGAAAATAGAGGACATATAAACATGAAAATACTGCATAGGGTTGCAACTGACAAAATCCAGAACTTGAGATATTACTTAGAGCAAAGGCCTGATTTCAATAGCAGATTTTTTTAAAGAGACAAATATGAGGAAGAATGAACCTGTATTAAAAGATTAAGACTAGATGGTCTTTCCCTAGGTGGTGTGGCTCAATTGGTTGGAGCATTGTCCTGTAACTGAAAGATTGTGGGTTCGATTCCCAGGGCACATACCTTTGTTTCCAGTTCAGTCTCTGGTCTGGGTACATGGGGGAGGCACCCGTTGATGTTTCTTTCTCACATCAATGTTTCTCTTCCTCTCTCTCTAAAAAATCAATTAAAAAAATGTCCTCTGGTGAGGATTAAAAAAAGAAGAAAGACTAGGTGGCCTTAAGTCCTAGTTCGTCTGGGATAGCCCTTATTTCACATTTTTTGCAGTAGGGAATTATTAAGAATGGCCCTTTTCACTCTGAAGAATATCCCAGTTTGCATGATAAAATATGTAGGACTTACTTAAGGCACATCAACCAAATGCAATAATAAATTCTGACTCAAACAAGTTGTGAAAAACACTTGAGAACTGGTGAAATTTGAATGCTGATTAGACATTTGATATAAAGAAATCACTTAAATCATTTTGATGTAAGAATGGTCTTAAAAAGTTCTTAACTCTTAGAGATGTATGCTGAAGTAAATAGATGAAATGATACTGGGTTTGTTTCAAAATAATCCTAGAGGAAGACGGAGTAAATGGCCAATCTTTTTGAGCTATAACCCATTTGTTGATAAACGTTGAGGCTGGGAAGTGAATATACGGGTTAATTATATTCTCTATACTTTTGCATGTGTTTTAAAAACATTTTATGGAAAATTGCAAGGTAAGGGGAAAAGATATATTGAATAAAGCAGTGACAACTTTGTTTTTAGTAATAAAAGTGCATTTGCATCATTTATAGGTTGTAAACCAGAGTTGTGAAGCTTCAAGTTCAAAGATTACTGAAAAATTAAGTGGACATGAAGCAACTAATGAGAAACAGCGTAACATTTTACTTGGTCAGATAAATATGGATGAAGAAAAATTAATGGCACAAAGTCTGGAACTTAATGAAAACATAAAAATTGGTTTGACTAAGCTTAATTTCTTTCTACATCAGGATCTGAAACTGGATATCCCAACAGGTACTTTAAGAGGGAAATAGAATTATTAAAGTTTTGAAGTTAAATTCAACCTTGTACAGTGCCAGATGTACTGAAAAAACTAGGTCCTGCCATTGCCTGATAGGAATTTACCACATGTAATCAACTCAAATGTGAAAAAATGGGAACCATAAAGTAGCTTTAATGAAGCATCAGATCTCATAATATAGGTGACGCATACTCCTAGAAATTTGGGTATCACAACTCAGCAAACTTTACAGACATTAAAGAAATTGGCATTGTTATCAAAGAACATTTTAAAAACAAAAGCAAACAGCCATCTACCTAGCACTGTGATTTATTTAATTACATTCCTCTATTATTTGTTCATATACAAATTAGAGGAATGTAATTAAATAAATCTAGTTTGGTGCAAAGCTCACCACATTGTGCATTTCCTTATGCGCACCTCTCATTTTGTCCTGGGCTATTAGATTGGCATTTGTGACTCATCATTTTAGGGGGTATAACAAGCTAGTCAGTAGGATAGGATGAGTGACTGAGTTACTCATTGGGCTGTGGTAAATTCATTGGATTGTGGTAATGGTTGCATATCCTGGAAATTTACTAAAAATTCAGTAAATTTTGTGGTATATACATTACACTTGAGAGTCTTTTTTAAAGGCAATTGTAAAGGAATTTTGTGCTAAATATTAGTTTACTTTTCCCTAATAGTTCTGTAATATTTTTGTCTAGTTTTCAATAAAATTAGGAATACAAATGTTAAACAGAAAGGCAAGGGCCCATGTAAATTATGAGAGCATGAGTTCATTATAAAGAAATTTAACTAGTTAATATTTAGTTCCTGTCAAATTTATATGAAATCATTATTCTCCGTGTGATCATATTGGAAAAACTGCCTTTATTCCAGTAATGCTGCCCATGACACATCTTCTGTACAGCCTCAGAGATACAAAATTTCATGTTTTGAAAACAGTTGTGTCTGTTTAACACCAGTTGTCAATTTAGGAAATATTTAATGGTTGTAAGCAATATATGCCTGATAGGTGACAAGACTAATAGTGTAAGTTGTAGCAATAAAAAATATCTTATTCATATCCCACTCTTCAATTTTTCCTGCTTCAATGATGTCTACCAAAGGTACAACACCACAGAGGAAAAATTATTTATACCCATCAACACTGGTGAGAACTGAACCACGTGAACAGCTCCTTGATCAGTTGAAAAGGAAACAGCCTGAGCTGTTAATGATAAGCTGTTCAGAAAACAGAGAAGACAGCACTCAGGTAAAATTTAAAACATCAAAATTTTAGAATTCTCCCATAAACTCTTGATGTCATTGACTGCATGTGAAAAGTTTTATTCTTTGCCCTTTGTTCCTACCCTGTGTCTCATTTATAACTGTTGTCTGACCATTAAGCCTGTTTCTTTTAACTTGGCCATTTTTTTATTAGACTACTGGATAGCAATAATATCTAATATTTATGTTGTGCTTATGTGCCAGACACTGTTGTTTTAAGCGCTTTACAGATATATTTACTCAATTCTCTTAATTACCCTGTGAGGTGGATGCTAGTACTATGTCCATTTAATAGGTGAGGTAACTAAGTTATGTTGTCCCAAGCCACAGGATGGAGTTGGTATTAGAACCTGTACAAGCTCCACAATTTGTGCTCCAAAGTATAGTTATTATAGAATAGTTGGGAAATCGCAAAGTGAAAAGAAGAAAAACTTAAAAAAAAACTATAATCCCATTCTGAGAATACCACTTTTCTAATTTTATTTTAGGTACTTGTCTGTATGAGATCATATTAGGGATTATTTTAATTATTTTATGGACTTTTTACTAATTTTGTTGCAGTATAAACTTTTATACAATGGATAATGTGTTACTTTCCAAGGGGAAAGTTGCCTTTACTTTTGGGAAGATTTTTAAGCCCTTGGACTTAAATCACTAATCCTGCTTCTTATTTTAGAACTCAGATGAAGAACAGGCAGTTCTGGAGGACACCATAGAAGAACCTCTAAGTCAGGAGCCATCTGTAGATGCCAATGTGGATTGTTCATCGAGTGGTGGGGTTCCATTTTTCCAGGTACATGATTCTATCCCATCAGATAACCCTTTCACATCTGGTATGTCAGTCATTTGCTATTCAACATGAACGCATTACTTTAGGTAGGAGGAACAATGAAATATTTTTGGTCATTCATTTGGAATGGCTTGTGAGCCTCTCTGATTTAAATTAATCACACAAATTAGATCATTGTTCAGGGGTTTTCTGTAGGACAAAGGCAAAATTTGATTTAATCTCCATCTTCAGTTGGTAACCTGCATCTGCCCTTTTTCTACTTCCTACTTACTCAGAATGGATACTGAGAACAGTCATTTCTCCTCCCTCCACCTTTGACGTGAAGTCCTGGAGCCTCTCTGCCCATAATCATACTTTGAGGCCTATGAGGGGTTTAAAAGATTCAGAGACAAAAGACCTCTTAGGTTATATTAGTGATTTCTTTTGCCTGAGGCTTTGCTCTTGTTAATTATTCCTCCTTGTTTCCTGAGCTCCTCACCTACCTTGATCTTGTACAATTAAATCCTGTGACGTCTCCTACTCCCTTTTAAAACACTTTTGGGAGTGTGGCATTCTGAACTGCCTAGCACCTTTCCCTATATTTTGAAGACAAGAGCCTAGACAATCTGCAAAATAAAGATTTCATTACATAGCACAGTGATGTCTCCATTTTACTGTTATAGTGCTGCTTCTGATATGTATGTGCTTATACTTGTCTTCAGTGGACTTGTAGGGGTTTCCACTAGGTTCCAAAGATTCTGTCCCTAATTTAAGCTGTTAAAACTTCCAGCTCAGATTTTGTTAAATTCTTCTCTGCCTGACTTAGGCAATTTTATCCCCAAATTCTTACTTTTGCTCTATTCTTTACTAGTAGAGGATTCTCTATATATTTGTTTTCATTTGCAACCCTCTGTTCTATCTTACAAAGTTAAGTAAAGGGTGAAAGTTTAAAAAGTTAATTACTGTTTGAAAACCCACTCATTATTACTGTTCAAGGCATTTTGAAGGCTAGGCTTAGTGGTTCAGTTGTAAGGAAGTCCCTACAATACTAGGAAAGATTTGGGATTGGATTTTAGACCTTTAGCTGAAGTCTGGAAGTTATTTTTTCCCTGATAGCATTCCAATGGGGAGAAGTTTTTGGGTTTAAAACTCTAAAGTACGTCATGTTCTTCTCAGCATTGAGCCTGGGCCTACAATGATGGCCAGCCCTGTCTGACAGCAAGTGTAAGGATTCCAACAAAATAGAAGTTCCTAAATGAGAAATATGAAATAAGTTTAAATAATAAAATAGAGTTTTTAGAAAAGTGTCTGAAGGTACCCCATACATCAGATTCTCTGCTTAAAACAGTATTGTCCTTTGGTGGGGGCAGGTGCTGATAGCAAATCACCGTTTCCCCCCAGGGCTTCTTCACAGTGGCACTACTGGCATTTTGAGCAGGACAGTCCTTTGTTGCAGCGGCCTGTCCTGTGTGCTGTGTATGATATGTTTCCCAGTATCCATGGCTTCTGCCCCCTACTTTTAACAACCATAAACGTCTTCGGACATTGAAATGTCCCCTAAGGGGGGCAGATGAGAGACAAAATTGCTCCCAGTTGAGGATCACTGTACTACAGTGAAATTTGTTATTATGCCTTGGAATATTATACAGAAAAATAATATCTTTTTACCCCACTCCTTCCATTGGTGGTAAATGAAGCAGGCAGTCATTTCTACTTGCCAGACAGATTGTTGGTTCAAGTTGGTGTTGAGCCTTTTTGGAAGTTCTTCACACTTAACTTCTTTCCTATAATCCAGAGAACTTTGAAAATAGAATATAGCTAATGTGTGTTAAATGTTACTTTATATCGACCTAATTTCTCCCCTTAAATCCACAGCATAAAAAACCACATGGAAAAGACAAAGAAAATAGAGGCATTACTCCAGTGGAGAGGTCTAAAGTTGAAGAAGCTACCGAGCAATCTGTTACAAAGAGCAGATTACCTCTACGGTCCCAGATAAATCTTTAGTTAACTTGAGGATTTTAATTTTATTTTTAAGAAAATTGAAAATTAAAATCCGTAACCCCAGAACTTGAGCCTTATGTATAGATTAAAAACAGTACAAAACATCAAGGCAATACTGTAAATTTACTTGCATTTAATGTTTCTAATCATTTTTTCTGTCTTTGCTCTGTAGTTCACTATATATTAAGTTGGGTTTCATTTGGAATTTTCACTAAGTATTTCTAGGTTTTGATATAAAATTGTCTTTCCATAACAAATTAAAAATATTTTTCTTGTTTATTACTAAATAACAAATGTACAGAAGCTTCTCTGTTGTTCTAGGATTGAACTTACAGATAAATATCACCAGTAGTTGGTCTTGGGAAAGACCTTCTCTCTCTCTCTCTTTTTTTTTTTATTTGGTATGATTGAATTATGTCCATATTTACTTGCCTCCTTCCCAGACTTGTCATTCTGCCTTCTTAGCTCAATTTCTCCCATTTTATTTGTCAATAAACCATTTGTAGAGCTCCAGAGTGGTATCCATTATTACTATAAGATAGTCAGAATTTTACCTGGATACCTTTAATAGTTTTCTATGGTTATCTTTAAAATCACTGTCAACAATAAACAACCCTAGAAGGTCTTTTCAGCATTTTTAATTTGTTCCCCTGTAGATGCGAAAGCATTTAATTCCTTTCTGAGGCCAAACACATGAGCCTCCACAGAGTTCTTGTTATTATGGGAGATCTACCCAGATCTCTGAACAGCTGGGTGACCCCGTCATAATGCCTGTGTCTTGTGCAGAAAGTCACAGTGATTTTAAGGGCTTTTTGAGCTATTATGATTATAATTTGTATTCCTTTGTTTACCTGATGAAACTTTGTATTGTTCTTTGTGTATAATAAAATGTGTATATGTATATTTCTTCTATTGAAATATTAACCTTTAAAAGAGCTCTGACAATTTTGATCTGACAACCAAATTTGTGGAAGTTGAGATATTTCAGCATGAACAACCAGAACATTTAGGAGGAATTAAATAGTCTCCCTTATCCACAGATTTGCTTTGTGGTTTCAGTTATCAATAGTTAACCATGGTCTAAAAATGTTAAATGGAATATTCAAGAATTAAACAATTCATAAGTTTTAAATTGCACACCCTACTGAGTACATGGTGAAATCTTGCACTGCCCTACTCCATCCCACCCGGGATGGAGAATTATCTTTGTCCAGCATTTCCATACTGTGTACGCTTCTGGTCTGTTCATCAGTAGTGGCCTCCATTATCAGACGGTTGCAGTGCAGCAGTGCTCATCTTCAGGGAACCCTCGTTGTACTTAATTCCCCCCAAATGTAAGAGTACTGGTGCTGGCAATTTGGTTATGTTAAAAAGAAGCCAGAAAGTGCATCCTTTAAGTGGAAAAAGGAAAGTTGTCCACATAAGAAAATTTAAAAGATCATATTCTGAGGTTGTTAAGACCTACAGTACGAACAAATTTTCTGTCTGAAATTGTGAAGAAGGGAAAAGAAATTTGTGCTAGTTTTGCTGTTGCACCTCAGACTGCAAAAGTTATGGCCACAGTGTGCAATAAATTCTTAGTCGAGACAGAAAAGGCATTCAGTTTGTGGGTAGAAGACATGAACAGCAAATGTGCTAGAAAACATTGAGCATACATGAACACCTTAAGGGATCTTCTGAAATGAATAATACTTTATTTACTGCAAGTCAGGGATGGTTACCTATTCAGAGGATAGGTTTGGACTGAAAAGTGTAAAAATTACTGGAGAGGCTATGTCTGCTGATGAAGAAGTTGCTACCACATTTCTGGCAGAGTTGAAGTTGATTAGGTTTGGTATTGTCCATGGTTTCAGGCATCCACTGGGGGTGGGAATGTTTTCCCTGTGGGATTAGGGGTGACTAATGTATGTACAAAGAATAAATTATGTGCCCATGTTAAACATAAATTTAAGAGGTATAAATTTGATAGCCAAGTAAAATCAAACTCTATTGGAGAATTAGAAATTGTGCTACTTTGAGGAATAAATTTACCTTGCAGAAGTATTCTCTTTATAAAAATGATATTTCTTTACAAAATCAGATGTCAATGTAAGCTATGGATAATATCTAATAAAATAAACTGCCCTCAGTAAATCCATGGTTAATAAATTTGGTTTCTGTGTTAAACTTGCATGCCCCATGATTTCTTGTTTGGCAATGGGTACATTTTTAGAGTTAAGCAAGTTGTATTAAAATTCTTTAAATAAATATCTATACAGGAACCACCAAGAAAGAAGGGCTTGGTAAAATCCCAGGCTTTCCATTCTACTCCAAAGGGCTACATCCTGGTGTTGATAATGAGAGAGTAAGAGTCATGTGAGGCCCTCCTCACAGGGCCTGATGTCTAGCTTGAAGTCACCTCATTCTCTGTTTTAAGGTTATTTAGGGATGTCAGTGCAACTAGTTTAACTGTCTCACAGAAGTAAAAACAAGTCTCTGGAGAATTTAAGCATCCAGAGCCTTAAATTAGCTCTATAAATTTACATGTACAATGTCAAAAAATAACCATTGGCAAAAATAGAGTAGATAGCTTCAAGGACCCATTCCTCCTCAGAGGTGAAAGAAACAACTTTGTCAGAATTCTGGAAAACAAAGTTTACAGCAAACAATTAAATATTGGATCAAGAAAAAGGAGAGCTAAAAACTAGCAAAGCTTTTTTGGTATTTTACTTGCCCTTGTTTTGTTCCCATCTCTAAGGTGGTCTTGAAGATGGACAGCAACCCATGTTTTAGGAGTGAGGCATTGGTTCCTGGTTGCAAGGAAGCAAAAATTATTCTCACCTATCTGAGCTGCGTGAAAGACTGAAGCAAGGCATTGCCTCTGTTTCATCTCAGAACTTGGGGAAAATGGCAGGCATTTCTTTAATATTTTTATGGCAACTGAACAACCCGCTGCCACCTGGGACAAAAGATTACAACTGAAGTAAATAAAGGAGTGCCTAAATCTTGAGAGGAAGAAATGCAAGAGAATTTCTTAAAGGAAAGTAGGCCACAAAAAATTCACTGTGTGCTGGGAAATTGAGAAAGCCCTTTATGTTCAGGCCAAGTTGCATGCTTAGAAAAGACCTGAGACAGCTCTAAGCTTTTACTGCTGGCTGATACCTCAGATCAGTACAGGCAGGAAGGGAAGACTAAGGCAGATTGAAAATGGCCTGTTCAAGCACTGAAGGTGTGCTCCAACACAGGCGATATGCAAAGACTGGGAGGATCTTTTTCTTTTTAAAGAATTTTGTTTTACTGACATTCAAGAAAATCTGTCAACACACTAGCTGACCAAAAGCAAAAGGAAGACTTCGGTGACTACATAAGTCAAAGAATTGAGACTTAAGCAAAAAAAAGTAGTAAAGTCACTAAAATTGCCACAGCTCATAGCAACAGAAACAGACCCTGAGGCATGAAAAAAACTTGATTTCCAAAGTCACATTATAATCAAAATGTTTTAATTTCTGCCATAAACTAAGACGCATGCAAAGAAGCAAAGTACAGACCATTCAAAGAAGGAATTGCACGAACCATCTTAGTGGAAGCACAGACACTGTGCTTTAAATTAACTGACTCAAATATAGAGTTGAGGGAATCCAGAACAATGTTTCAACACAATATCAATAAACTTAAAGGAAACACACAAATTTGGAGCTAAAACCTATAATTGAAATGAAAAAAGTCACCAGAATGTTCCAGTAGATGTGAGCCAGTGAACTTGAAGCTAGGTTCAATGAAAATGTCCAATTGGAGGAGCAGAAAAAGTATAAAGGAAAAACAGAGCCTTAGACACCTAGGGGACACAAACATACCAACATTTGCAGAAAGGGAGTACCAGAAGGAGAGAAAGGGGCAGAAAGGATACTTGAAGAAATAATGGCTGAAAACTTGTTAAACTACTTGAACCTATACATCCAAGAAGCCCAACAAACCAAACAGGATAAATCGGATCCACCCACAACAATACATTATAATCAAACTGTCAGAACTTGAAAACAGAATCTGAAAGTAATGGATGCAGTCTTCAGGGAAGGGCAAATCAAAAGCACAGTGAGATGCTACTTTATATCCACAAGGATAGCTATAGAGAAAAAAAGTGTTGGTGAAGTTCAGTAGCAGCCCTTGTACATTGCTGGTGGGAATGAACAATGGTTCAGCCACTGGAAAAGCTTGGTGGTTCCTAAAGATGTGAAACAATCCCCACATGACCCAGCAATTCCACTCCTAGATATCTGCCCAAGAGAAAAGAAAAAATTTATCCACGATAATTTCTATTCACAATAATATCCACAATAATTCCACAATGGCACTACCATAATAAATGGTACAAACAACCTAAGTGTTCATTAACATATGAATGAATAAATGGTGGTAAATACAATACATACAATGAATTATAAAAATGGAGTATGGATACATACTATCATGTGGATAGACTTTGAAAACAAAATGCTAAGTAAAAAGTAAGATGCAAAAGTTCATATATTGTATTCTGTTTAAATGAAATATCCAGAACAGGCTAATTCACAGAAACAGATTGGTGTTTGCCAAGGCTGTCTGAAGGGGGAAAGAGCTGACTGCTAATGAGTGGTGTTTTCTTTTGGGATGTTGGGAATGTGTTGGCTGGAACTATCTAAATGTGGTTGTATGACATTGTGAACATACTAAATGAGGTGTACTTGCATACACCATGTAAGTTTCAGCTGTACAAACATGATTTAATACTTGCATACATGGCAAAATGATCACCAATATAGTCTTAAAATCCGTTTCTATTATGTAATTTGACCTAAAAATAAAAGCCATTCACTATATAAGGGGATTCTTATCATCTACTGAAGAAGAGGTAATTGAATCATAGAGCCATCAATATTGTAGGTAGAATTAACTAGCAGAGAGAAAATAGTTCTTAAACTCATGCTATAGTTTAAACGTATTAAAAATAAAAATGAAAGTATCAACAAAGGAAAAAAAAGTGTATACATAGTGTACTCATAAAACACATTTGTTTATACTTTTTTAAAAAGCAGCCCAGTAGTTCTTCCCATTAAATTGACCCCTTAATCAGTATGTTATGTTCTCCTTTATCCTTGGTGATATTTCTTGTTCTAAAGTCACCTTTGATATTAATGTAGATGCTCCAGCTTTCTTTGGATTTGTGTTTACATAGTGTACTTTTTGCTTTTAATTACAAAGAAACCCTATTTGAAGTGTGTTTCTTATAGATAGGTTATAACTGCTTTTTAAAGAGCCTCGGAGGGAGAGAAATATCAGTGTGCAAGAGATACATTAGTTGCCTCTTGCATGACCCCAACTGGAGCCCTGGCCCACAACCCAGGCATGTGCCCTGATTGGAAATCAAATGGACGACCTTTAGGTTCATAGGCTGGCACTCAGTTCACTGAGCCACACCAGCCAGGGCTATAGTTGCTTTTTTCCCAATCTAACAAGCTCTTTCAATTAGTTTATTTCGACTACTTATGTGATTGGTTATTGGGTTTAAATATATAATCTTTTATTTGTTCCCTTTGTTCTTTCTGTTTCCTCTTTTTCTGCCTCCATTAGAATTAATTGAGTATTTTTATGAATCCATTTTACCTTCATTAAAAATTTTGTATAAGGAGAATCCAAGATGGCAGTGGAATATAGTTGGGAGATACATTCACTTCCATAACCACACTGGAATTAAACTAAATTATGGAACAATCATCCTGAAAAACAAACTGTAGACTAAAGAGATACCTTATAACCAAAGATTTACAGAAGCTACACCGAGACTGGTAGGAAGGGAAGAGATGTGAAAAGAGCTGGCCCCGCTCCCATGGGTAGTAGCTGAGGTTCTGGAGGGATCCCAGGTTCTGAAGGGATCTCTGAGCTGTGAG